TGCGGTTTGACTTTCCCATATACATGCATTAACCCTTAAGGACAACAAGAAACGTTTCAAGCATCCTTCGCAGTTGCTTTTGTGACGCGCGTGGGTGTCCTTTGTGGCATTTACCTTCGCTCGACTGAGTTTTCTTTGCCTATGCAGCAGCTGCTGCATTAGAATTTTATCTTAAACTAATAAGAGTTAGATTAAAGGGTTGATATGCAGTTGGCTCTGTCTGTGAGAGGAGCCTTTGTCTTAGAAGAGAGAGCGATCTTTAGCTGCTTTAACTTCAGATTTTCCCAAATAGATTCACAGTTTCACTTATATATGAGATGATCTAAGATCTGAGATTGGAGATCTACCATATATGATCAACGATCTATATTATATGTGATGCTCCTTCTTGCCTAGTGAGACATGATTTATATACATAGATCTTTCATCAAATAAAATATCTTTTATCCTAAGCAAGATATGAATGTAATATATGATCAAAGCTGCTATGATCCTACTATGATACAACTATGCCCATGCTACGACTCTCAGTCTACGATTCGCATACCTCTGCCTCTTATGCTGCGATCGCTAGACTAGTTCTTAAGCCAAGACATAGACAGCTATTCGCACACCTTTTCATTTTTCTACTAATAAGATCTCCTAATTCGATCTTAGGCAATTTCTGAGCGAGACAAAAGAGCGATCGATCGAGCCAGCAAAAAACTAAGAAGAGATCTTAGAGCGAAGCTAAGAAACTTTGATAAAAATCAATCAACTACAAAGGAACTCTTTAGCTAATATTTCTGCTAGCTCTGCCCAGCTACCCAGTCGCAGAGGAAGGGAAAAGGTAAGCTAAAAACTGAATGAAAATCCAATTTCACACGTTGCGCTCGCATTTCGGACAGAAGCGGAGCGGCACAGGACAAAAACTCAATCAGGACTCAGCCAAGGTCTGCCAGGATATGTTCCCGCGCCAAAAAATACAAACCCCGAACGGTGTGCCCGCAAGGCAAGATGTCCCCTGGCAGCCGAAGAATGAAAACAAAACCGAGACGAGACGAAACGAGGCACAGTTGAAGTTAGGTGAGGCACGAAAAATGCGCACACGTCACCTTGATTAATCGTCTCGTCTTCGTCTCTCTCTCTCTCGCTCGCTCGCTCTCTCTCTCTCTCCAGTCGCCTTGACAAATACAAATAGTTGGCAAAATAGAAAATACCTTCAGCTGGGCGTCGTGAAACTTATCGCGCACGTCGCTTGGGATTAGTCAACTGGGCAAGGGACAGGCCCTTGCTCTCTGCGCTATGCTTGATCCTGTCTGCCGAATCCTGCCCGGCGTCCTTCTGCTCCATTTATTGACAGTTGCAATTGCTGGCATTGCCTCGTCTGACATTGATTGAGTTGCCCAACGTTATCTGCAGCGCCCCTTCAGCGCCGATCTTTATCAATTCTCATTTGCCCAGCTGCACTCGCGCTCCTCCTCACCATCTTCAGCTAGAATCTGTGCTGGAAAGTGCATGAAAAGCATATTTATTTTACGCTCCTTATACTATGATCTTTTAATTATGATCCCTAGCTTATGTTTGCTGCGATCCTTATACAAATATCTCTATATCACAAGTTCTCGGTAGACTACAATCTGCATACAGCGATCAGTATACTAAGATATCTCTACTATGATCTCCATCTGTATGCAGCGATCTCTATATTAAGATGTCCCTATATGTCTATATGCTCATAGTATGGTTCCTTTACTTCGATCTCTCGATCAATCGAAGATCTCTATATTTCTATATTAAGATCCTTATACTACGATCTTAGCTAGGCGAACGATATACCATGATCTCTATACTGGGATCTCCTCTTACTAAGATCTAAGATCTAAGATCTGTATACAACAATCCCTATATAGATTTAAAATGATTATTTGCTTCGATCTCTAGCTCAATCGAAGATCTCTATACCAAGATCCTTATACGATCTTTACACTGCGATCTTTATACCATGTTCTATATACTAGGTTCTCTATGCTATGATCCTCTTACCATGATTGCTTTGCTACGATCCCTATACAACGATCTTCATGCCAGATCTACAGCAAGCACAGCGATTCTCCTCTATGCTAAGAAGATCTCATAGTTTTATGTGAGATCATTTATGTTAGTTTAGTTTTTTTTTCTCAAGTATTTGAGCAATTTATATATACTTTAGTTTCTGTTTCAGTTTTGCGCTTGGTCAGCTTCAATTTGGCTGCTGTTGCTGCTGCTTCCGGCACTTAACCCATTTTTGGGTACCACTTGAACCAATTGCCAGACACTTGAGAACTTGCAAACGCCTTGCCACGTGCCACACACAACACACACACAGAGTGAGACTCCCTCACAAGCGACGACAGCTGTCCCCAGGGCTCGTTTTGTTATTTGTTTGCTTTGCAATACCCTGTGAAGTGTGCAGTGCAAGTGAGGTATTTTGTTGCAAAGCCGTGCATTCCCGATGGCTTGACACTGAGGCTACTTTGTCGTGTATTCACTTCGAACTGTTCGACTTTCCGAATACCGCACCTTTAGGCATAGATGACAGCACAATAAAAGAGTCCTTCGAGCATTTCGTACTGAGTAGTTGAAGAGTTTAGCAGGGTATCTGCTAGTCCAGCACACTGCAACTGACGCTTCGAGTTCCTTTTTTTTTTGCTCGACTCTCAGTTGTTCCACCTTTTTGGCGCAATTGGCGCAAGGTGTGCGAGCGACGCCGACGCCGACGCCGACGCAAGGTTCTGAAGGATCTTTTGCGACTCTTTTATGTGACAAATCAGAGCAGAAGAAGGCAGCAGCAGTAGCAGCAGCAGCAGCAGTGGCAGCAGCAGCGGCAGCTGCTCTGTCTTAAGGGAAACTCAATTGAGCAAAGAGAGGAGGCGAGGGAGGAAGAACCGAACAATGGGCGCATTCTACTTAAAGGCATATTTAATAGACGATTTAAGGCGAGTCAGCGCGAAGCTAACGACCCACGCATTGCATTGAATTGCATCCTTGAGTCAGGATCTCAGCCAGCTGCTGCTGCTGCCGCTGCCGTTCCATATTGCCTTTTGCATAAGTTGGTTCTGGTTGGCTGACGCCTTCAATGCCACAGATACGGTAAGGCTCAGCCGAGAAGGTACAGCCGACAGCGCACATAGAGACGGCCCCATGCATGTATCCTGCCAGCGTATCCTGCGGGTCAAACATTTCTGGCTGGTCAAATGCAAATTTATGCAAATTGTGCACCCACCCAGGCCCTATGCCGACCCGAATCGAGTCTCTACCTTGGCACAGGTGTGTGATAAACGCCATGTAAATGCCTTGGACAGGATACGAACAGGATATGCACTAGACGCATTCAACAACTGACAGTTCAGTTCAGTTTAGCTCAGCTCTGACGGGGTAGTTCAACGACTTCCAGTTCTGCGTACCGTACCGTACCGTACCTGGGCAGAGCCCCTGCCACTGCCTTGGCTTAGTCGCCCTTCCGTTTTATGTTTATGAACAAATTGTTGCTGCTTAGATTTCGGTTATGCTACAACTATTACAAGCACAAAGAGTTTCGATGCTCGCTCACGTGGCGACGAGATGAGTATATTGGTTTTGTGCACTCTTCGCCTTGTTGTCTGCCTTCTGTCTGTTCCTCTCTGTCTCTAGGCAGCTGTCTGTCTAGCAGTAGCTTTGTCCTTACGTTGACTTCATCTATTAGTCCATTGCTCTTTTTTTTGCGGTCGTCCTCTAGTTGCCCGTATCCTTGTCTGTGCTTCTCTACATCTCTCTAGCAGTTGTCCGCCTGTTCTTCCTTCCGCCTATTGAGGCAATATGGACTGGGATGGCTCATTCCTCCTCGCGTCGGATCATTCCTCCTTCGAAGCTAACTTTATAATTTAAATGATCCCTTACCTTAGTGAGCGGGTATTATGCAGTCGGTTGCCGCGTTTCTACTTCTGTTTCATGCACTTCACATGTGTATAAATTTATTTTAAGTTAACATAACCTCAACAAGGGGCGGAAGTATGCAAAGGGTAAGAATCTATATAGGCAGATAGCTATGTAAAGTAGATATATCCTGTTCTGGAGCAACATTCGCCTAGAGACTTGTGCCCTCAACTATATTCCCAACTAAATATATGTATATATCATTTAGCTTGCAGAGATATCAACTGAAAAATTTGCATTCTTATGAAAACTTGATAAATACTCAGCTGATTACTTCGTAAATTTAAGCATTTTCACTGCTCCACTTGATTTTTCTCAATAAAGTTTATATTCAACTAGTATATCATATAACTGCCTATGTGAACTCCGCTCTCCATGAAGATATCCTGATGAAATTTGGTACACATGTTTCTTATAGCTTAGTAAATATTTAATATAAAATTCAATGAAATTACCTCACTATATCATATAGCTGCCTATGTGAACTCAGCTCTCCATGAAGATATCCTGATGAAATTTTTTATTGATGCGTTCTTCAGCCTTAAAGTAACTTCTTTATCTATATTGGCTCATAAATCATATGACTTATTATGTGAGCTCAACTTTTAATACAGATATATTAGTTAAATTTGACGTATAAACTTGATACTTCAAAAATCTTCTCTCTATCCGTCTCTCTGTTTTCTTTTGTTGACATCCTCAGTCTCATCTTTGTTCCGTATCCCCCTCACTCCCTACTCCGCTCTATCCATCTCTTTCTCTCTCTCTCTCTCTCTGTCTCTCCCCTCTCCCAACACCAACTTCAGCTACATCAAGCTCATCTGCAGCAAAATAAATAGACTTAACTCTTATTGTTTTCTTTTACAATCTTAGCAATTTTATTACGATAAAAAAAATGATTCTCAATTAAGGAATTGAAGTCTTAGATTGGAATGTAAATTTGAAGAAGGCAATTGAAAGCTTTCAGCAACAATTTTGCTAAATTCAAAAAGGAGAAAAAAACAACAGCAAAAAAAATGATTTAAAATTATTTGGACAGCCAAAGGTGCAGTTGAGTGGAACCCGGTTCACTGCTCCACGAAATGCTCCTCGTGGAAGGAGAAGCTGAGTCGCCGCTTGGTCGCCGCCTCGAGGACGCAGTCGGCAAAAGGCGCGAGCCGCGCCTCCTCCTCCAGCTGCAGCTCCAGCTCCATCTCCATTTCCAGTTCGCAGTCGCTGGTGGAGTTGTGTCCGCTGTCGGGGCTGATGTGCCTCTGGCCGGGAGCTCGGGAGTGGGCATGTGGGTGGGGCAGCTTGTGGGCAGATCGGGCGGCAGCGGCGAGGAGCTTTTGCGCCGAGTGCCGCACGCTCGACGAGATCTTCGTTGTGATCTTCCGCTTGCGCCGCACCACGCGCTGCCTGCGCAGCTGCTGAAGCGAGCGTCGCTTGCCCACCAGAGATAGAGACGCCTCTCCCGATCCCACCTGTGGACTGCGCACTTCCCTCTCCTCGTAGGCATCCGGATGGGTGGGTGGCTGCCAATACTCGCGCAGATCGCTGGCTGGATCGAAGGCGGGTCGGTAGGTGGGCGAGTGACTTGTGGAGACGAGCGGGAGTGGAGCTGGACGGGCGTGGGAGCGAGAGATGTGGCGAAGGCGGGAACGGGAACGGGAACGGGAATGAGCATGAGGATGAGGATGGGGGAGAGCACGAGAGCGAGGACGAAGAGCTGCAGCGGGCGGCTTGCGCGTGCTTTCCAAGATCGCATCGATCATGCGCTCCAAGGTGACATCGCCCATCTGGCTGGAGCTGAGCGTCGCCTGGTCCGAAACAGGAGCAGCCGATGGGGGAGGAGGGGCAGCCGCAGCCGCGCTAGAGGCAGCTGGCTGGAGGTAGCGCGGCTTCTCGAAGTAGCTGTCCGGGATGCCCATGCCACGCAGTGCCAGCAACGCTCCGGGAATGATCCTGTTGTCCTGCGTGTCCCTCTGGCTGTCCGCCTGATCCTTGTTGTCCCTCTGCCCGGGCGAGTACTCCGCCTCGAAGGTGGGCAGCGTGCACGCATAGGCAGTTCTCTTCAGAGGAGGCGTGTGCAGGGGGGAGAGGATGTTGCTCAGATCTCTCAGCAGCGGAGTGCAGCGTGGAGCAGCAGCAGCAGCAGCAGCAGCAGCTGCTGAGGCAGCGGGCAGCGGCGTCGATGTCAATGTGGAGGTCAACTGATTCTCCTTGCCGCCCGCCTGCATCTGGATGTGGAGCAGCGAGTGTCGCTTCGCATTCGCATTCAGATTCAGTTTCGTTCGAGAGGCGGCTATCGGGGTGGGCGTGGCAGTTGGTTGGAAATCGCTGTAGCTGCTTATGACATGGCCTCCAGCTGCATCCCGATCTGGTTGAGCCTCCAGGTAGGATACGCGCGGCTGGTTGACAGCCCACTTCAACATGTTGGCAGCTGTGCGAAAAGTCTGCAAGAAGAAGGAGAAGATGGAACGGGTTAGAGATGCGCACGAAGGATCGGGCTAGTTAGGCCTGAATTGCCATTGTCTGCGAAAGGATAACAGCAAAAAAACCCGCTCGACTTGTGAAACAAGTTTGCTTTTTCGCAAGGATTTTCAAAAGCTGCAAAGCGGAAGGCGCGCAAAAATCCAACGAAATCAAATGAATGAAGGAAGCTGAGAAATTGGATAGATTTTGCTTCCAGCTGCGCCCCGAGCTGAGCAAGATTCGCTCTGCTCTCGGCCTGTTTTTACTTTTTTTTGTGCTTTTGCATTTGCAATGCGATTCGAGTGGAACGCGAAAAAGCCAAAAACACTTGAAAGTGCGCGAAAGCATTTTGCGCATTTGCCCGCCCCGTTTTGCGCTCAAGCGCACTTCACATAAAACTCGATAAAAAATAATATATAAAGTGAATACACTCCATGAAAAAAGACCATATCATAGCTGAAGCGGACATACCCTAGATATACGAGAGTTATGCCCTCTATATCTGCTGTTCATATGGGGTTTCCTTAATGCTATAGTCGGTTTACTGCTTTAATATTGATTAATATGATACATTGAGGTTTAGCCAAATTGTGTACCAAATTTCATCAAGATATCTTCATGGAGAGCCGAGTTCGTAGAGGTAGCTATATGATATAGTTAGGTGATTTCATTGAATTTTATATTAAAAGTTTATTAAGCTAAAAGAAACATGTGTACCAAATTTCATCAGGATATCTTCATGGAGAGCTGAGTTCACATGGGCAGCTATATGATAAAGTTTTTGAATTTGTTCAGAAACTTTGATTATTATTGAAAACTTGCTGAGCAGTGTAATTAGTGAAATTTGTTTAACTGGAGAAAATTTGTGTCCACTTTTCGTAAGTTTCCAAATGATTATTTTTATATGATATATAGGCTTAGATAGATAGATAGATAGATAGATATAGGGAGATATATCTATGTTTTCCGATGAAAAACGATAATTATATTATCATCTAGTTTCCATAAGAAAGCTTTTCAGCCAGATATGATACACAATATACCCCACATATACCCTATACTATATGCGAAGCCAAACGTGACGCACGCGCACAATTTGAATGCATTTCATTGAAATGAATTAAAAATTGCGATGATTTTTGAATAGGGTGTTTTATAATTAAATTTCTCACAGAGCACTTGAGTCGCCTTTTTACTGTTTACGGTTTGCTCCTGCTCTACTTCATGGTCTAGATATTTAATGCATTTTTAATAGCTAATCACAATGCACTTGTCTTCATTTCTTTACCTTGTTTAATATATTTTTATTTTCGTGGGGGTAGCTCGTTTAGTTCTTTATCCAAATTATTTTCACACAGCCAAAAAAAAAATATATATATAAGTTAACACATAACATTTAATATAGGGTATTTCATAAGTTTATAACCAACCCTCGCTATCGCGTGTTTCGTAAGTTAAGAAACAGCCCTCGCAATTGCGACACTGCATACTTTGTATCAGCGCGCTATAACTGCAATGGTCAGCGGCGGTAACCAGATACTTTTGTTTACTGCAAGAGTTTCCGTTATTGCCTAAGATTGCTGAGTCGGCTTGCCGACCATGACATTGTGGTGTGATGCGAGTTTTGGCTTAGCTTAAGTGAAATATTCTATGTAGCTAAAAATCAGTTTTGCATTGAAGTTTGAAGAATAAACCCGCACTACTCCGGCACACCGCCGTAATCAAATTGTTATATTTCTGATCATTGCTGAGCCACAAGGCCAGTTAATAGAAAAGGGGGTGAAGTCAAACCCTCCAACATAATCATCATAAGAAGATTATAATTACCCGATCAACGCTGGACCTGCCACCGACGCCTAGCTCATAGCTGGACCAGCAACTTATTGATTAAGACTATAAATACCCGATCAACGCTGGACCTGCCACCGACGCCTAGTTCATCGCTGGACCAGCAACATATTAATTGGCGCCCAACGTAAAAAAAAAAAAAAAAAAAAAAAAAAAAAAAAAATTTTTTTTTTTTTTTTGGAATTTAAATCATATTAAACAAGCTTGCAGAAAAATTACGATTTATCCTGTCATTCACAAGAATTTCATATTGCGATTGCCTGACAACGTCATAGCCGAATGCGATGGAAAAACCCACACACTGCAGAGTTGCACCGCTTCACCTGGAGCCACCTTTTGTCGTCTGGCATTAGAGAGTTCATGTGCCAAAGAGCTCCATGCAGGTGGCACGGCACACTGTGAAATCCAGCCGAGCAACCTGGAAATAATCACCCACGTAGATGATGGAATCATCATTCTTAACGACGGGTCCGCAAGGATCCAGGTGGATAACGGCACTGAAATCCAAGTACACGGCACGCATCTCATTACGTTCGGGGACCGAGTCGCGATCAACGGGACTCTGTTTTACAACCACAACAACGTACGCAATAGAGTCCCGGGCATTGCCAACTCTCCCTTGCTGAACATCACTGCCAGCCAAGATGTCCTCAGCCTCCCTTATCTTCATCGTTTAAATGAACGTAATTTGGAGGAGATACAGCAATTCAAGAAAGACGCCGGAACTGATCAAGCTTATCGTGTGGCATTCATCATTGGAGGTATATGCTGTGCTTTAATCTGCATTGGCCTCACCCTTTGGCGGTTCATCGACGCAAGGAAGTCTGCGAAGCAATTACGAGAAGTCGTCGCCGGAATTGGGTCGGCCGAGGGCGGCCTTACACTTGAAGGGGGAGTAGTTAACACATAACATTTAATATAGGGTATTTCATAAGTTTATAACCAACCCTCGCTATCGCGTGTTTCGTAAGTTAAGAAACAGCCCTCGCAATTGCGACACTGCATACTTTGTATCAGCGCGCTATAACTGCAATGGTCAGCGGCGGTAACCAGATACTTTTGTTTACTGCAAGAGTTTCCGTTATTGCCTAAGATTGCTGAGTCGGCTTGCCGACCATGACATTGTGGTGTGATGCGAGTTTTGGCTTAGCTTAAGTGAAATATTCTATGTAGCTAAAAATCAGTTTTGCATTGAAGTTTGAAGAATAAACCCGCACTACTCCGGCACACCGCCGTAATCAAATTGTTATATTTCTGATCATTGCTGAGCCACAAGGCCAGTTAATAGAAAAGGGGGTGAAGTCAAACCCTCCAACATAATCATCATAAGAAGATTATAATTACCCGATCAACGCTGGACCTGCCACCGACGCCTAGCTCATAGCTGGACCAGCAACTTATTGATTAAGACTATAAATACCCGATCAACGCTGGACCTGCCACCGACGCCTAGTTCATCGCTGGACCAGCAACATATTAATTTATATATTAAAAAATCCGTAGTGTCAAAAAAAATATATAGTCGCGAAACGAAACGAAACGATGCAATGCGGAGCAGAGCAAGACGTGCTGTCAGTTCCGCAGACGCAATGTGACTGATTCTCGCTAAGCACGTCATGTTGCGTGCTCAGCTCTGACCAGACAATCAACCACCACCAACTGCTTGTACTCTCTCCATTTTTAAACGCGCTCTTTCTCTCTCACTTATTCATATACATTCAGTACATTAGTATGTTGCATTGGAATTTGTGGGGAACGCGCCAAAGGAATATACACAAATGAACACGCTGCATTGAGCGTAAGTGTGTGTGAGAGGGCGAGAGAGAGAGAATTTAACTGTGCAGTTTACATATGAAATCCAAAAGAAAATACACAAATGAACGCGCTGCACAGAGTGTATGAGTGTGTGAGAGCGAGAACGAGTGAGTTAGAGAGTGTTAATGAAGTGCTGTAGTTAGCATATAAAATCAATTCAATTTGATTGAAATGGCAATTGCATTGAATGACATTGAAATGGAAATTTGAATTTGAAAACATTACGACTACTCCATTGATATTTGGCTTAGAATGTATGGCTTGCTGTGTATTCAAGTACATGAAAGCAAGCCATGAAAAATTCATTTTAAACAATCGCTTACATTCATAAAAGTGTATATATTTTCTAGGAACCGTAACGATTATAATACTCCTAGTTCGATCAACTTTAACATTCTCCATCAATTTATGCATTATCGCATTAATCTTCGTGCTGAACATAGTCATGTGGGATATGATCGAAGCCTTTCTGATGGAATCAACGCGACGCTGGCGCAAATTTCGCGGAGTAAATGAGATCGAGGGGGGCGAGGGACAGCTCAACTTCTGGCTACTCGCCTGCACCATCAGTCTGGGCACTATTTGGCTGGTGCACAGTGAGATGTGCACTCGTCTCGAAAATATGCTTAGACGTCAGTTCTTGTTCAGATTGAAGTCGCACCTGATGACCAAAATGGGTGAAGACATCCGGAGTTTGAAGAAAGATCTAAACCGAGCCGTACTGAATCGCAACAAGCATAACTGTAAGTCAGTCAAATGAACGTCAGTTGAAGTTTCCCAATTAATTTCAATTTCAATTTGAATAATTCAGTTGAAAAATGCATTCAGTTTCAATATCAATTTCAACTACGTTTGTTATTCTCATTCAATTTAATTGAACAACAGATTAGCAATATCATGGCATTGAACAACACATTCAATTTAACTTCAAGTCGACTTTCATCCATACGAAAGTCTAAATAGACTTTGATTTTAGCAAAATTTGAAGTTGGTTCAATTGAACATCATATTCAATTTTGATTTCAACTATAATTTCAATTTGATTGTCAAGTGCAACTAATCCGAATGGTAAATCAGTTCAATTGAATTGAATAATACTTTTTATAATTTCAGTGACACTTTCAATTTCAATTTCAATTTCAATTTGCTTTTCAATGTACATCACATTCAATTTGAAAACATGATTGGATTCTATATATCCATCCATATATCAACAACTACTATACGAAACTCCAAGCTTCTGGTCTTCAATGTACAGGTCATCCCTCCCCTTTTCCAGGCCACTTCACTTATGCTCAAGGCCAAATCAATCAAACAACTTTGAGTGTGAGCTGCGATCGACTTCGCCTTCTCGGGGCTCTAATCCCAAACAGCTGTGCAAGGATCCAGCTAGCAGTATACAATAAACTGGCGCTATCTGCCGATTTAGGATAGGCTAACAAACTGCCCGAGCCCAGAGCGTTACCTACTTTATCGCAATGTCGCACACACTCTCTCTCCCTCTGTTCGTGAAGGATAAGTAAGAAAATACAAATAGGCAAAAAGGTAGTCAAAAGCGTGAAGCGATTTTACCATTTTCGCAATTTTTCGGCTATGAGAAATTGCGCAATTGTTGGGCAATTTATTAGCGAACCGATTTGATCCTCTGTCCTAATTTATCTTCCCTTAGCTATCTCCCTCCCTCTCACGCTTACTCTGCCTACGTATCTCTCTCTCTCTCTCTGTCTGAGGCAGGGGCGTTCGTAGTGACCAATGCATTAAATTGGCTTTGATTCAATGCCTGTCACAAGGACAGATTATTGTGAAGATCCTTTGCTACTGCAGAAGAAGCAGGAGACGCAGAAGAAGGGGCAGCAGCAGCAGCTGCCCCTTGAGACGCGCGCGCACTCTATGTTGAGAGTCCTGCTCCTGCTCGATAATATTATTGATTTATTTCCATTAGCAGTCGCATCTTTGTGTGTCTTTTCTTTGCTTCTTTTTTGTTGTTGACCAATTGCTAAAACGGGAGCAGCAGCTGCGCAACATAAAAAAATTATAGTAGGAAACAGCTTTAGTTTATCGTAGCTCCCAATCTGGCTGCTTTACAGGGTATCTCTATAGTTGAGGCAGCTTCGTTATCCATATAATATCGTAACCTAATGAAGCTTCCGTTAATGTGAATATCCATTCAAGAGGTAACAAGTGATACGAGGGCTACGTCGTCATTGTCATTGTCCTTCTTCACTCTTATCAAAATTCATAGCTGATCTTCAAATCATTTCTCACAAAATGGAATCATTTTATTTGGCATTTTCACTTGAAATGATTTCATCAACAATAGCTCCATAGGACATATTCATATAGTACAAAGGAATGTTGTCCAAACTAGAGTTCAATTTGCTAAGACCTGTTAAGGGAAGTGCATCACATGGTGGTCTACAAGGCGGATATAGAATACTGAGATGGTCAGATTCCATGATTCTTTCCTCGTTAGGTTTTATAGCTCAAATCCTTTGAGTTTCATTCAAGGCACAGGAAGAGCCAATAGCTCTGCTATTAACGCATTATCTTGATAGCTATCTCAGAGCCACTCTCTCGCTCCCGCTTTCTCGCCTGCCTTCTCTCTCTCTTTCGCCTTCTCACTTTCCTTTGAGGCTGTAACAGCTGTCGCCTTGGCCAATTCTCAATGTCTTCGCAAAATCTCATAAATTTGCGCTTTTAACAAAAGTTGACGTTGACGTCGCAGTTGACGCCGGCAGCGACGTCGACAGCGGCATATGCTGAGCCCCTTTTAACCAATAAATTGCAAAACAATTGCACAATTTTCCACAACATTTTCCTTGCCAGGCAGCCAGCGTTGGCAGCGACGTTGGCAGCGACGTCAGCAGCGCCAGCGTCAGCGGCAGCGGCGCTTGTCCCATAAACAATAAACTAAATTGTACAAAGGTTTACACAGTATGTATGCATGTGTGTGTGTGTTTGTTGTCCTTTTCTTGGCGAAAAACTCAAAGGTGAAAGGAGCCACACGCTGCGAGAAAGGTAATTGAAAATTATGTTTTGTGGCGTAAGCAGCGCAAAGGAGCTGCAGCAGCAACAGCAGCAGCTGGCTGAGACACATTCACACACACACACACACACAGACACAGACACAAGCATGTCTCGCTCGCATGTCCTGGGCCAACTGTGGTTTCCATTGCCAACTGTTTTTGACCACCGAATCGAAGTTAGGCTCTACTTTAGAATGCCACTTTATATATAAGTATATATATATATATATATATATATGTCTGTATATGTTATATACACATCTTATATATCATAATCCTAGACAGATTTGATATTACTTTAACTTGTGCTAAATATATAAAGTCCAGAGGGTACACATATATATATATATATATATATATATGTGTGTTTTAAGATAGTATATATACAGCGTATATATGCCTGATCCTTAAAATTTAGTAATCTATTTACTCGCATATCTATATACTCAACAGCATGCAGTCCCTTAACTAGTCCATATAGACATATTACTATAAACGACTACAGACTAATGACGCTATACCCTAGACCCTATACCACTTACTTACAGAAATAACTAGTTCCTATCTGAGAACTCATTGTTAGTTTAGTAATTAGATCTATGTATATATCATGAATTATATTTTATATCATATTCTTAGCGTATATTATAATATTTAATGTATATTCTTTTATAATTTTTTATTTATATATTTTTATTCCATAATACCCTTCTTGTAATTTCCCTCATTTAAGGAACTGCCATGGTTTAATAGATTTTAATTCCTGTTCCGTCTGTCTTTTTTTTTTGCCCACCCACCAACTGCATGCATACTTGGCTCACTATGAATGCAGTTGCTGCCTGATTGAATGCTTGCGTTCAGTCTGCGCTCAGCTCTCTCAATGAATTCCATTGCGCTAGATTCATGCATAGCAGTGCTGGTGCTGCTGCTGCACTCTCTCTAAGCTGCCGACGCAGGCGCTCTCTCTCTCGCGATTCACCCTCTCTCACTCTTACGCTCCCGTTTATTCTCTCTCTCTGTGTGTGTGCACGCAACACGTTTCTGTGCTTTGCTGCTTGCGGCGACAGAGTTCATCCAGTTAGTACTCAAACACACGTCGGTCCGAATGCACGTGTACGCTTCGCTGTCGGACAAAAAATAATACAAATTGAAAATACGAAAATAGTGAAATATTCGATACAAATATTTTTTTTCTAGTGCTGCAAAATTCTTGTGAAAAAGGTAAATTGCAAGTGGCAAGCAAAGCAAATTCCTTAATTCAAGCAGATTTCACATTCAATTGTGCAAATCATACGAATGGGGCGTGGCACACGCCCCGCGGCTCATTCAATTGTACGTGAAAAAACGAGGGGGTGGGGGAAGTTCATTTTTACTGCTTCACTGATTTCTTGTTTTTTTTTGCTCCTTTTCGGCCAGCCAAAAAGCTCACATAACTTGTCCCTTAAATGGGCATATCTATATATACTTATACATAAATATATATTTGTATGTGTGTGTATGTATGGATATGGCCATATCGCGAAATTCTCCGCCGAAAAGCGCGCCAAAAATACTCGCTTAACAGCTTTGCAGGAGACGAAAACAAAAGCCAAAAAGCTAAAAAAAAATAAAGCCAAAAACAAAGCTGTGCGCTGTAGTCGACTGCTTGATACCCTGTTTTGCAATTTGTGGGCGAATTGGAATAAGTTTTAAAATTAAAATTAAAGTTTAAATTGAAACAGCCAAAAAATTAAAATTAATATGGAAGGTGAAATTTAAATTTTAAGAAATATTTCAAACTGAAAAAAACCTGAAAAAAATTGAAATTTCTGTTTAAATAGAAATTTATATTGAAATGGAAACTCATATTGAAAATAAAGAAGAAATTGAAGAAATTTAAAATTGAAATGTAGGGAAAGAGCGAGATAGAGGCAAAGAGAGAGGGAGGGAGAGAGAAACAAGTAGTGAGAGGGAGAGGCAAATGGACATTAAGAGCTTTGAGCCACACAGCCAATATACTCTACTTACTGCTTGTCCACAGAGTATTAGGTTAGGGCCAACGCCAGACACCCACACACATATATACCGTCATAAACTTATACATTTATATAAATATTTAACGAAAATACTTAACCAACAACTTCTGCCCTTTGCAGCCATCCAGAAGAACAGCAAAGACAGTAAGAAAAAGAAAAACAGGAAAACCAAGATCACTCCCTTCACCAGCCCCCACACCAAGAACACTTAATACACTGCAGGAGTGAAGCAGCGAAGACGAAGATGCTGAAGTGGGCTGTCAACCAGCCGCGCGTATCCTACCTGGAGGCTCAACCAGATCGGGATGCAGCTGGAGGCCATGTCATAAGCAGCTACAGCGATTTCCAACCAACTGCCACGCCCACCCCGATAGCCGCCTCTCGAACGAAACTGAATCTGAATGCGAATGCGAAGCGACACTCGCTGCTCCACATCCAGATGCAGGCGGGCGGCAAGGAGAATCAGTTGATCTCCACATTGACATCGACGCCGCTGCCCGCTGCCTCAGCAGCTGCTGCTGCTGCTGCTGCTGCTGCTCCTGCTCCACGCTGCACTCCGCTGCTGAGAGATCTGAGCAACATCCTCTCCCCCCTGCACACGCCTCCTCTGAAGAGAACTGCCTATGCGTGCACGCTGCCCACCTTCGAGGCGGAGTACTCGCCCGGGCAGAGGGACAACAAGGATCAGGCGGACAGCCAAAGGGACACGCAGGACAACAGGATCATTCCCGGAGCGTTGCTGGCACTGCGAGGCATGGGCATCCCGGACAGCTACTTCGAGAAGCCGCGCTACCTCCAGCCAGCTGCCGCTAGCGCTTCTGCGGCTGCCCCTCCTCCCCCATCGGCTGCTCCTGTTTCGGACCAGGCGACGCTCAGCTCCAGCCAGATGGGCGATGTCACCTTGGAGCGCATGATCGATGCGATCTTGGAAAGCACGCGCAAGCCGCCCGCTGCAGCTCTTCGTCCTCGCTCTCGTGCTCTCCCCCATCCTCATCCTCATGCTCATTCCCGTTCCCGTTCCCGTTCCCGCCTTCGCCACATCTCTCGCTCCCACGCCCGTCCAGCTCCACTCCCGCTCGTCTCCACAAGTCACTCGCCCACCTACCGACCCGCCTTCGATCCAGCCAGCGATCTGCGCGAGTATTGGCAGCCACCCACCCATCCGGATGCCTACGAGGAGAGGGAAGTGCGCAGTCCACAGGTGGGATCGGGAGAGGCGTCTCTATCTCTGGTGGGCAAGCGACGCTCGCTTCAGCAGCTGCGCAGGCAGCGCGTGGTGCGGCGCAAGCGGAAGATCACAACGAAGATCTCGTCGAGCGTGCGCCACTCGGCGCAAAAGCTCCTCGCCGCTGCCGCCCGATCTGCCCACAAGCTGCCCCACCCACATGCCCACTTCCGAGCTCCCGGCCAGAGGCACATCAGCCCCGACAGCGGACACAACTCCACCAGCGACTGCGAACTGGAAATGGAGATGGAGCTGGAGCTGGGCGAGGAGCTAGAGGCCTCTTGCCAGCTGGAAGGCATTTGGCTGCGCTCAGACGTCAGAGATGGGACCAAGCGGCGTCTCAGCTTCTCGCTGAACGAACGCAGCTGAGGAAACACATGCATATATACCCTAGGGACACATCTGACACGTTATCATATTTTTTTTCTTAGTCTAAGCATTTATTTATTAGAAGAATAAATACATAACTGTATAATCGAGATGATATAGAAATTGTTATTTTTAATGAGGTTTTTCCTTCTCTGTGCGCTTCTTGAATTCCCACGACTCGGAGTGGCTCGTCATAATTTTTATGAACTGGAATTTTGACCACAAGAGAGTCTTGAGCTGCGACCAGCATTAAATGCACAAGTAAACTCTTCAGGTGCAGCCAAGCGTGGCGTCTTCCAGTTCCTCGGATGAGGGAAGAGGCGAAGCCCGACGACTCGAACCGCAGAGCCACGAACCACGGAACCACGAGACACGATGCGGACTGCAAGTGTTTCCCACAGCGTGTGTTCTTTTTGGGTTAATGGGCGTTTTAATGCTTTGATAGCTACCACGAAATGAGGGGGCAGGAGAGAGAGAGAGGGAGAGGGAGAGTGAGAAGGAGAGACCCGGATGACAACCCTATCTAAACTAAGTTTGTTGAGCCCATGCCTAGAGAACTTTAGCTAAAACTTCAGCAAGAAAGTAGTTGAAGATACTCTGGGCACTGCGCAGCGCTGCTCTAGTCGGGTATACACGACTAGAAAATACCATGCACGCTGCATAGAAGTGCTCTAATGCCGAATGCCAGAGGCTAACTACCTAGATCTCAAATGTCTTTAAGATCCATAAGATACGAGCCCGAAACTCTTGAAGTGTTCATTGAGCAAAGCACTTAAGCACGTAAGTGTTTAAAAGACTCGGTCAGCAGTAGGCCAGCCCCCGCTGAGCGTGTAGCTACAGTGAAGTTGTAATCGTCAAATGAGAAACTTCTCTAAAGTTTCTCTCACAAAACCCTTTTTGGGCATTTGCATAGCTAAGAAGGTTGGTCAAGATATTTTTGTGGCTAGGGCTCATTAGCTGGTCAAGTCCATTGAGCAAAGGGCGTTAAATGAGCTGTCATAACAAATGCAAATTCCTAGATAAGAAAGAGATAGAGAGAGACAGAGGCAGGGAGAGAGGGAGATAGAGGCAAAGTCAGTAATCTCCCTTTGCTGAGACTAAGCCAAGACGTTAACACTTTATTTTACCAAAGAATGCTTGCTGAGCTTCCCAGCCCAAAGCGCAGCGAAGCGTATAAAAGAGAGAGAGAGCAGCTAAGAGAGAGAGAGAGAGAGAGAGAGAGAGAGAATGTGTAATTACATGAATTGTTGCTTTGTGAGTTTTGACAGACGCAGAGACAACAAAGATGATATGATATGTCTGGACAGGCATCGTAAAGGTCAAGCTCAAGACAGAGAGTGAGAGAGAGAGAGCGAGTAGGAGAGAGAAAGAGTGAGTGAGTGAGAGAGAGAGCGGGTTACTTACATGTGTTGTTTCTTTGTGAGTTTTGACAGCCCGAACAGGCTTTAATAGAGGTCAAGCACAACAAGATATATAGAGCAGGTAATGCTCGCGCTCTTTCTCTCTCTCTCACTCCTTGGCTCTCGCATCTTGTAGGTCTGTCATACCCTTTTCCGGGACAGTGAACGGTTTTAAGGGTCTGCAGTGACCAGCGGACAGTGATGTTTTTTTGCCCCCTTTTCGTCGCGGCACAAATCACTGAGACTTGACAAAAAAAGGTCAGCCAACGAGGGCTTTGCGCCGTTTTCTCCGTTTTCCCGTTGCCTAATGATGCGCCGTTGTCTTTCCTGGGTCTGTTACAAGTTTCCATTTCCCATTTTCCCACTTTGCCGTGCCGTCTCATTTAACAAGCAGCTCTTTAATTTGATTTTGATTGAATGTGAAATGGAGTCCATCCCGAGCTCTCTCACCTCACATCATACACATATACCTATTGCCCACTCCGAAATCTAGTTTCACACACCAATGCGAACCGTGAACTGTGCTCTAGTTTCAGCTTGCTCAACAGACTACAACATTCCAATTACTATACTTATATATACCATAAATTACTTTCAACTTTTATTTTAAATCCGTCCAAGCATTTTCAGCTCACTCCGAATTCGAATAGAGCTCTCAGATTTTCTACATGATGAGAGATTTTTGGTTTTCTATGTCTCAATAGAAGTTCTAAGTCTCAAAGCCTCAATCCGAACTTGCTGACTTTTTCAGCGCATTTCGGAGTCAAATTTTTACTCCGAAAAAAAAAACATGTCTAAGGGGAAATCTTTTGCTATAGAAGAAGCGGAACTATCCAAACTGAACCATATTTTCAATTACTCCGAAACTCCGAATAGTACTTTCAGCTAATAGCTCAAATGATTCGATGCAAGCTTAAAGTCCGAATCTTAGGCGTAAGCTTAAGCTCTAAGCAGAAAATCCGAATATGCTTAAAACTATTTCTTCATGCAAATCTTGAGCGAAGCTATAAAGCCGAAAAAAGTAAAAACAAAACTATTCCGAAAACTCGCAAAATGGCTTGAACTCTCTACAATTACTCCGAAAATAGCAACGCTTTGTAGTAAAAGGCGGCAATAGCAACAGCAATTTTCTTTGATTTCGATAAAATATAATTAAGTTGACTTCGGAGTAACTCCGAATATATAAATTCAAGTGCATTTATTTTATTTTTAAAAGTAACTCCGAATATATCAATTTAAGTGAACGATTTATATATTAATGTATATTAATTTATTGTTATAATTTTCACTTACTCCGAAACTGCACTTCAGCTCATATTTCCTCATGTTTTATTATCCTTAAAGCAAATTGAAACATTTTACAATTCAATTGAATTCAATTTGCAACGCCCCTACACTTCACACACTCTCAGCGAGATAGAGAAAGAGAGAGAGAGAGAGAGAGAGAGATAGAGAGAGAGAGAGTGCAGTTAATAGAGTTCGCATTTGTCTTTGATAACAATGGAGCATCTGATCTCTTTATGCTGTTCTAAATGTTTGAAACGAGTTCACAGCTTCATTGAAAAACCATTTGATGGCACACTTTGATTGTTCGCCAAATGAAAAGTGGAAAACACGCTGGAAAAGTGGAAAATCCTCATGTATATATGTGTATACATAGCTACGTGTTGGTCGAGCTATGGCTTGTATAATGGGCCCGCTTAAATATTGCGCTGAAGTGAGAAAAGTCGATTGATGCAGTCGAGCGCACCTTTCGACCCGCACTTTTTTTTGCACACTTCACTCTTCACTCTTCAGGCTACAGTCTGCAGTGTGCAGTGTGCAGTGTGCCTTCGCCTGACCCTTCCATGCATTTGCGCACTTTTACCCCGGTCAGGACTTGCGTCCTGCGTCCTGCGTCCTGCGCGTGCCTCGGCGGCGAAACAGTTGCAAAAAATTGTAGGCAAACAATGGACGCTGATCGAGGCGGGCGCAGGCTGCGCACGACTCGGGACTCTGGGGAGCGGGCGTGCTGCGTGTCCTGCATGTCCTGTCAGGAAGTCGAATGTCAGACAAATGTGTAAACATGTGCAAAAAACAGCTGCAAGAGAGCGAGCGAAGGAAAGAGACAGTGAGAAGTGGTGCCTGACTAACAGATACCCTGTACTTCACTAATAGGCCAGATGAGCAATGAGACCTTCCATTTAACTTATACCCTGTAATTAGCAAATACACAAGAGTAGAAATATTATTAGGTATATCCTACAGACAGCCCGAATATTCCAGAAAAAGACAGCCAATATACCTTGTTTAAGGTGTAAAGCCTGCACAGGGTAGCTGACAGCAAGCACTCACAGGCACAAAGCCACCTTGACACAGTCGACACGTCGCGTCTAGATTGGCATGTCCTGCGGGTCCTGGCAACCATTAGAAGCAGGCGCTAAATATGCATATCCCAATCGCCTCTCCCTCGCTCACTTTCTCTCTACCTTTCTCCCTCTCTCTTTGGCTCCCACTCTCTCTCTCACGCTCTGTTATACTATGCTCTAACTAGGCGTATCCTTCAAGATGCAAAACTCACCTGTTGGCCGTCCAGGCATGTCCCTTACCAACAATTCTCAACTGAAGCAGAGAACGAAGAAGCGAGCGTGAGGGGCAGAAGGAAAGAGAGAGAGAGAGGGAGAGAGAGGGAGAGAGGGAGAGCTGTGCTCTATATAACATGTTATTTGCTGTGAGCCAGGCCATTCATTAGAGCCAATTTTCAATTTCCAATTGCTCGACAGCAGGTGCTCAAGTCACTTCAAGCAATTGAGGCCGAAATGAAATTGAGCTGAGGCTAACAAGCTGAAGATTCAGATGAAGATAACTTGATATAGAGCGAAACTAGCCAAAGGATATAGAATGCAATATCTTTTGTCAGCTATGGCTAGAAACAAATTTTGAATTTAAAAGACTTAGTTAAATAAAGAAGAAGAGGAACAAGATATAATCATATTACTTTCTAGTTCGATCAGGTTCAAAGCCAATTCTAGTTCGTTCCCTTAAGTGATCTGTGAAGATCAGTAAGCGATCATGAATCATACTCCATGTGTTCTTGATCAGTTCTTGGCTTATTTTATTTTTTTAGTTTTGTTCTATTGAGTTGCTGCTCTGTTCATGAACCACAAGTTCCAGTTCTATTGTGACACTACTAAACAAAGGCCTTACTGATCGATAGGTATATATGATAATGCCTGATCAGAACTGCATGAGTCTAGAGAACTGGGTAACTCCATGACTTGAATAACATCTAATAGAGGTTTGGTTCGCATTACTAGTTCCAGCTTCCTCTCTATCTCTCGCCTCCCGCTTTCTCTCTCGCTCACTCGCTCTCTCTCTTTATTAAATCTCTCTCTTTCTTTGCTATTCTTTCTCTTTCACTTTCTCTCTCTCATTCTCTACCTTTAGCTCCTTCTCTATGTATCTCCAAGTATAGCTCTCGCTATCAATTTGTTCCCTGTCTCTTCTTCTTACTTCATCTTGCAAAGGATCTCTCGGCGCAAAGCGTTTCATCTCGTGAAAGATCAATTTGTTGTCTTTGTATTTCAATTTTCTTTTTGGTGTTGCGATGCTTTTCTTTCAAGGCGTTGGCTACGCTCCTTTCCTCTCCCTCTCCCTCTAGCTCTCCCGACTCTTCTTCTCCTGCTGCAGTTCGCGTAAATGCGGAAAATTGCAAATGATTGAAATCTAATCCGATCGCAGCTCATCGAACTCATCGAACTCATCCACCTTGACATCATTTAAATTTTTGCGCACTTCAGAAGAAGAAAAGCGAAAAAGGGTTGCACGCAGAGGGCGAAGCGAGGGGGGAGGGGTACTCTGAAGTTGAGTTTAAGCTGTTTTCTTTTCTCTCACGACTCAGGCCGCAAAATCCGAACGCAAGGGTTTCTCCAATTTACCTTTTCTGCATTTCTCCTCAATCGCTGTCAAGTGAGCCGCACTTAATGAACCAGACAATGCAAATCCATGCAGCAGCAGCTACCTCTCCCCCTCTCACTATATCTGCCGCTGCCTCTGATCAGTTTTGCAACTGTTATAATAATATTTGTCACTCACATGACAGCTAAGGGTAGTGCGAAAAAAGGGAGCAGCAGATCACAGCCTTCACCCAGATTTGCATTAATGATATGCAACATTTGTTAGATCATTTCCTTGCCTCTGCCACTCTTTCACCTCTCGAGAGTCCTGTGATGCATGATGCTATAGTCCCATATGCGCAATGCAATTCATATTGCATATGCATGAAATTCCTGTGCATCTCTGGATTAGATCTATTCGTCATTTATCAAGTCTCAAATTTATGAGAATCACAAGAATTAATTGATTTTGCATACTGATAGATAGAGATACAGACAGAGATAGATTTATATAGTACATAGAGATATAGATATGGTATATATATATAGTATATAGAGATATATGATATGTGGTATGATTTAAGATTGACAGCTTTTGCGACTACTCTATTTGCATATATAGCTAGCTGAACTATGTCAATTAGTCAGTCAATCTGGCAGTCAGACTGATCGATTTACTGATTGACTGACACAGTGATTGACTGACTGCAAGACTGACTGACTGACTGACTGACTGATTGACAGTCTGATTCACTGGCTAACGGACGAGCTAAGCGGCTGGTTGACTGAGTGATTAACTGATTGATAAGCTGACTGACTGATTGACAGTCTGATGCACTGACTAACGAACGGGCTAAGCGGCTGATTGACTGATTGATAAGCTGTCTAACTGTATGACTGAGTATGACTGCTTGACTGACCGATTGACTGACTGATTGATTGACTAACTTACTTATTGATGGACAGTCGTATGCAGTGCTAAATTCAGAACTGCCGCTGGATATTACATCTAGCGTCACGCTCGGACAACTTGGCCATATGGAAGACAACGTCAGTTGGAGCTAATTCGCATAGTCTGAGGCAGCTGTCGGCTCGAGTGGGAAACAAAGCAAGCGTCGTCGCACTGGGAGAGGGTGGACGCGACGCAGTTAATTTGGGAAAGTTGAAAATCAAATATCATATATATCAACTTACATATCAAAACAAAATATACAGCCAAACAAAAACAAAAACAAAAACAAAACGGAATTTTTCTCTTGCTCTTGCCCAATTTCCATTTACATTTGCATTTTATATTTTGGATTTACATTTTGCATCTTGCATCTTGCATGTCTATTACATGCGCTCACACCTTTTGAGCAACAAGGGTACAAAGTCAGCCAGGGGCGGGACGGAGCGGCAGCTGTCGAACGCAGAGAGACAGACTCAGACTCCGTTTTCGACTTCGACTTTCAGACACCAGCCCCGAAGACATATGCAAATGTCAATTTATGCAAATTATTCAGGACACATGATCGGGGTAGAGGCTCTGCCTTGACTCTACCCTCTACCCGCTCTATCTTTCGGGAGAGCAGAAGATATCTCTTTTATTATGAGTTATTGAACTATTGACAGTCTAAGCTAAAATAAATTGGCTGCGAGCTTGAGTTGAGTTTGAGGGAAGCCTGACTCAATTTGTCTTAGGAGAGGTTGAGTTCTTCCCTGACCCCAACTCTCCTCTGTCCCTGCCCTACCTCTATTTCCTACTTCCTGCGTAACTCTGATTTATCCTAGACTTACTTTCTTCCCTCTCTCTTCTCTCCTTCAGTATCTCCATTCTTGCCTCTCTATCTCTCACTCTAAGTCTCTATCTCTATATCTATATTTCTCTTGATGCTTTTCTCTGTCACTTTGTAACTGTGCTCCTCTCTCTCTGTCCTGTCTATCTATCTTTCCTTATCAATCTTTATCTCCATGTATTCTCCGTCTCTCTCTCTCTCTCTCTCTATCTAACTTTCTCTTACTCTTTTTCATAAATTATTGAACTTTTGGCACTCTGCAGTGCCACCCTGACTCAGTCTCTACTTTTAGCTCTACTTTACCCCGCTCCGCTCTCTTCCTCTGCCCCTCAATCTCAATCTCTCTCTCTCTCTCTTCAACATTTTTGAGCTATTGAATTATTGACAATCTAAGCAAAAATATAAATTGAGCAATAAATTGGCTCTCACAATAGGGTCGTGGCAAAAGCAAAACTCCTTTATAAGGCTGCGCCGATATCGATACGCGTGAGGCTTTCTTTGCCCTTTGCCCTTTGCCCTTTGCCCTTGTTCATTTCTCTCAACTTGCATCCGAAGTAGCGAGTAGCTCGGGCGCTGTGACATGTGACATGACACAGTCGAATGTGTTCACTCGCGATGCAATTACGATAACTGCGAGAGATAAGACTGTAGCGCTTAGTGGTAGAGCCCGGCGACTACCGGTTGCCAATTAGATGAGTTAGTCGCCCGTTTGATGGGCCCAAAAATTGAGGTGCAAACCGGTAAAGCGTCCACGTGCCAGCTGACAGGCCAGCTAAGCACGACACAAAAAAAAACAATGAAACACTCGACTAACTTAAGTTAACTCTTACTCTCCCTCTCCCCTACTCTCCCACTCTTACGCTCTCCCGCTCTCAAGGTAAGGTCTCCTGTAACACAAAGAGCTCGCCGTCTTGATTGACAATATATATCTACTGACTATTGGCATTCGATCTGGAACAGACCCCGATTCATCTAGCCGATTCATTTGTTTAAGATTCCAGCGAACAAATACCAGTTACATGGACCTATATAATAGTTTTCTGTGGTTCAAGTTAGTCCTTAATTTCGCTTGCCTAATGAGAGTTCTGCTTGAGTTGGGATTAGCAAACGATAAACAAAGGCTGCATTGGAGATCGGCTCTGAAATACTTATCTGCATATATAGATCCTATATCTAGACACCCGCACAGCTGCTTGGGCAGAGGCGGAGATAGAGGCGGCTCAGTCTGGATAGGATTTGCGACACCTTTTTGCACCTTTCATCAGTTGCAATGCAACATTTGTCGCAATTTGAAAGCAAACGAGCCAGAGAAGGAAGTTCCTAAGGCAAGGATTAGAATTAGAATATGCATAGATCCAAACAGAGAGATACGAAAGAATGAAGCGCTCAATGAAAGCGGCGAGCAGCTGAGTCGGCTCAGGTAAGCAAGGTATGTAACGAGCAGGTAGTTCGGCCCAATGGATTTGTAGGCGTTGTTAAGCCTTTCGACACCTAATTAGTCCCAGCCACACGAGACCCTGCAAATCGGCATTTGTCGCAGGCTGCGAGTTTCACAGTTGACAACAATTTAATTTGGATTACGATCCTTCTGTTCATCCAGTTCATCTGGCGTATTGGCACATAGTTACCTGAAAACTGGCTACAGGTCTAGCTAGAGCTGAACTATGAACCGGAACGGCAAGGGGTTTGGCATCAAGATTTGCCTAACTGCTTCCTCTTTGGCAATTCCCATTGTGAAATGAAGTTCGTGAACCACTGCTGGAATCACTATGATCTAGTCTCAAAAGAACTGTGTCTTAAGGCACTTTGAAATACAATTATTTTATCCCTTAAAAGTTGAACTTTTGAAATGGAACTTGTATTGGAACCAGTGAGGGAAGTAGGTGTCGAACTAGTAAGAGAGGCAGTAAAGGAACCTGAACAGAAGCTAGTAGGGACGTATTAGTACGGATACAAAATAATCAAATGACTAGTTCTAGTAGTGGTTCCATTACTGGTTCTAATACTGGTTCCATTACTGGTTCCATTGCTGGTTCCATTACAAGTTCCATCACTGTTTCCATTACAAGTTCCATTACTGGTTCCATTGCTGGTTCCATTACAGGCAAAAGGCTATCGAGCCTTATCGATGCAAGAACCAATTATTTATAACTAGTTCGCAGCATTTCAATTAGTGACTAATACTTTTTTATATTCTTTATTGTGAAATAATTTTGATAGATCACAGATTGATAATTTTTTGAATGATTGTCATAAGCTTGCGTCGCAAGAGCGGATCGCCGACCTCTTTGAGGGCCGGGCATTCGGCTTCCTCTTCGGAACTGGAATTGGCTGTCTTTTCGCTCTGCTCCGAATCGGAAGTATGGTTTCTTTTCTTCTTCTTGCACTCGGGCTCTTTAATCGGTTCATCTTTTGTCTTCGTCATCTGTTCATTTTCTTTTACTTTCTTCTCTTTCTGTGCCGCCTGCAATTCGATTTGAGCCTTCGTCGCCTCGCGCCGAAGCGCCTTGCGCTCCAGTTTGGTGAGTTTGGGGTATTTCTTCTTCGAGATACTCTTTGAGTTAACACGAAAAGGCTGTACCGGTGGCTCCGCTTCGACGGCATCCAACACTGGATCATCGAGCCTGATTGGCTTGGCAGTCGCCTCGCCCAACTCACTTGCCGCTGCCTCGGCCGGAGCTTGAGTCGAAGGCGTGGCAACTGCGATATTTTGCGATTTTTTTGAATTATTTTTCGTTTTATCTTGACTTGAAACTAATTTTGATCTGGATTGGCTTGCCTTAAGCTCTACCTCTGTTTCACCTGGGACTGGGATCCCCTGACTGACATGTTCTGGCTGTGGCTCAGCTTGCTCTGCACCGTCTGAAGCCAGCTTCAATTCGTTTTGCTTGAGCGCTTCGGATATTTGATTCTCTAGAGCTAGGCCTAAGTAGCTCTTGTTGATCTCTGTTGGCTTGACACCTTCTAAAGCGAACTTCGATTGAGCTTTCTTGAGCTCTACTGACATAGCACTCTTCGCAGGCAACTTCGATTCCTTTTTCTGGGGCTCCACTGACGCTACACCTTGCAAAATCAACTTCGAGTCGGGTTTCTTCAGCCCTACCGACCCGACACTCTCTGAGGCTAACTTCAATTGATTCGTCTTTGGATCCACCTCATCACTAACTAAGTTGAAGTCCTTTTGATTGGACTCCATCCCCTTCAAGTCGCTTTTCTCTACCTTCACCAACTTCGTATCCTCCAAGCCCATATTCAATTTCTTTTTCTGTAGGTCCGGCATAGTAGCATCTGCTGCAGTTGGCTTCGGTTGCTTCTTTCCGCTCTTGGACGACTTTGCAACAGTTGCAGCCCGCTCGCTCTCATTTTTCGCGAGCTTTGCGAAAGATGCATTCTCTGTGAATAACATCGGTTCACTTTTCTTAATGTCTATGGAGTCAAGAACTCCTAAAGTACGTTCTGCCAGTCCAGTGACTTCTGTAGCTATCAGCTCTGCGTCTGCACCTGATGTTGTTTGATCTTCTAGCTTGGCAGCATCAGCTAAGCTTGCTTTACTATTCTTAAGGGATATATTTAATGGCTTCTTCAAGAGATCTAGAGATCTGCTTGGCTGAAGTTGTTTTGCTTGCTTTGTGAAAACAGTTTTGGATGGTTTATCTGATGGAACAATTTCCGACGTTTTCTTTTCTTCGATTAAACTTGACTTCCTGTTTGTCTTAACTTCTGCAATCTTGACTATATCTAGCTTTGGCTTGGCTTGAGACGTCTTTGGTGCAGCATGAAGCGCATTTTCCGGTCCCATAGATCGGCTGGGATTGGCTGGTGCCAATACAATGCTGCTCGCTCTATTTGGGGTAATACACTTCAGGTTCGTGTCGGCGCTTTGGGCTTGGATCTGAGGCAGCTCTAATCTTCCATTTTTTGTAGAAGAATCTGCCTCGTTTGTAGCTCGTGCTGAATCGAGCTTAACAAATTTTTGATTAAGCAATTTCCATGGCTTCTCTGAAACCTTTGGGCTTACTTCAGGTAAAGTTCTTTGAGTTTTGTCACACGGCAAAGTCTTCAAAGGTAGCTTAGTTAAGCTCTTCGACATCATTGGAGCTGCCTTTGGATTAGTAGCTTTGACATCCTCTCGAGCTGGCTTGGGGCTGATCTTCGAATTGCCCTGAGCTAATCTCGTTGTAAAGCTTTCGGTTGAGGTCTTTGATAGTACCTCAAGAGATTTCTCCTGGGTCGGAAGCTTGAAGACAATCGGAGATAAGTTCGGACTCATTGGGGATTTCTTTTGGTTCGATTTGATCTCCGTGTGTAATTGAAATGGCTTTTGCTTTTTGCGCGCCAAAAGTTTGGCTTTCTTCTTGGAAATCTTTGGTATGGGCTTTGCCTTTTGAGTTTGCTTCAAACTTTCATGTTTAGAGTTTTTTGAAACTGACTTGGAGTCAGCCGCTGGATCGGACTGGGCCAATGGGTCCTTGGGCGAGCCTTGAGCTGGTTCCAAGATCTCTGGCGTTATGCACTCACACCTTGATGCCTCCCCCTCAGCTTGGGACATGTAGCTGACTTCAGTGAATTGCTTACATTCAGATGAATTTTCAGCAGCTTGGCTGCTGTTTGCATTTCCCGGAGTCAAGCGAGGCACAAAAGGTTCCGAGTGTTCCGACAGTTGTTGCTCGAGTTTCGTGTTGAAGCGACTTGTATCCGATACAGCTTGAGGTGTTTCCAACTCAACACTAGTCAAACTCTGATCTGCCTTGCAATCGGACTCGTGAACTTCAATTTCAATCACCTGCACCGATGTGTTCTCATTAGTGATCGAGGGCAACGGTTCTTCCTCAACACTCTCCTTGGGAGGTGGCTTCAGAATTTCCCTAACTATAATTTCCGGCTGCTGCCTCATTAGCTTCTGGCTCTGCTTTGATGTTACGTAGTTGCTCTTCTGATATTTTGCTTCGTTTTTTGATGACTTCGTCAACATCATTGGATTGAAAGACTGCACGACGCGACGCGGTGCTCGGAACTGTTCGTATGGATTTTCCATCGGGGCTTCCATTCCATTCGGTGCCTCCTGAAGGTATCTGCCTTCCATCTCGGCGCATTCAATCAAATGCGACTGATCGTGCATATTGAATGGCTGAAACCCCGGCACGAACTGCTCCATCCCATTTGCTTGACCAAACTCATGCATCGACTGTGAGGCACAGTTGTTATAGAGAGGGAACCCCGATAAATGATGTGCTCTAGTCGTGCGAATTAGCCGACCTATAGATATCCTGTACCCATTTAGCTATTATCTATTACCTAACATAACGGATAACATGCATCTGTACCTATAATATCGATACTTATCGATAGTCGAGGTAAGTGTATTTAGGGTAAAGAGATAGGTGGGGGTAGATGGGGACAGAACACGTAAAAGCAAGCAAAGCAAAACGATATTTATCGATTTATGTGCGAAGGTCTAATTCAAATCAAAAGTGTTTTTTAACAGACATATATATATATATATTCAAATATGCTATGTTCTATCCTATATATTATAATATATTGCATATGGAAAAATCAGGCTCAGCATTTCGATATTAATCGATACATTTGAGAAAGTGCTAAACTACACAGCGGATAAATTAGTATATACACGTGTATACATATAGCAATTTCTAGTCCATACAGTTAACGAAAAACAGAAAATCGATATTTATCGATATATGAAAGGAGATGCGGCATGAGAAACCTGTAGATTTCCAGTTTTTCTATGTGTCTATATGATTCACACAATAAATCTTCGGCTCTTATAGCAAGCACGTATCGGCTGCAAGCTGACTCAGCAAATCGATATTTATCGACAAGTGCAAGGAATTGCATAAACAAACATGTTCTTCCTATTCTACATGAATATTTAAATAACTTTTGAACCCGGTTACTCCTATAGTAGCTACATATTATTAAGATGCAATGTTGGCTCAGCAAATCGATATTTATCGATTGAAGAAACGGCTAAGTCAGCAACTTCTTCATCCTCGGAATGGGTACAGGGCATACAAATATTGCATCTATATATATTACCTGTTCCCGGGCATAAAACATAGGCTCTGGCGATTCCATATAGTCCTGAGAGACCTCTTCATAGACAGCACCATCATGAGTTACCTTTAGAAAGTGAGAAAAAAACTCTTGGAGAGGTAGAGGGAGGAGAGGAAACAGCGGATACGAACTCACCTCATAATGTGGGGAAACATTGTAAGGATTTGTATATGGTCCCTGAGTGGTTTGAATATAGCCCGATTTGTTGTCCAGGTCAGCTTGAAGCTGGCCATCAACCTGAAGGCCCCCATTTATGTAGACGTTCTGGGGGAAATCGGATTTGCCCATGCCGCGCTGCTTGTAGATGGTGACCATTAGCTTTTCGCGCGTTCTTGTTATGTAGACATCGCTGGCTAGCGCAATGTCGATCTCAATCAGTTCTGGCTCGACTTCAACGGGCTGTAGGGGTGGTGGTGCTGCAAGCAGCTGATTGCGCGGCACCACTTGGTAGTTGTAGCACGGATAGCCAAAGGAATCGGGCAACTGGGGCTGCATGTCGGGCGTGGGCAGCAGCCCAATCGACTGAGGTGGTAGTTGTGGTGGTGTCGATTGCGATGAGGATGAACATGATGTCAATGACGATGATGATGATGACGATGATGATGGCGATGATGATAATGGCGGTGGCGGCAGTGGCGGCAGAGGTGGTGGTGGCAGTGGTGGTGCGGGTGAGGGTGGATGTGGATGTACTTGAATCGGTTGTGCCGTTGCATCCTGATAGTTGTATATTTGATAGGGATAAGTCGGCTGTCCTGGCTCCAGTTGTGGTGCGATCGGCGAAGGTGGTGCAACTGCAGTTGCCTGCTGAATTTGCTGCACATTGGCAGCAGCCACCAACAACTGCACGCCGTTCGCTGGCGGCCCATTTGCTGGTGCTGCAATCAACTGTGGTGCGCTCGGTGGTGCCGTGACCAACTGTACAGGCTGATAGGTTTGATTGTATGGCTGATAAAGGTAGGCAGTTGTATTGGTCGTTGCCGCTGGCACCAGCTGTATGGTCTGCAATGGCTGGACCAGCTGATATGACTGCTGATAGCCAAACTGTAACTGTGGCTGTGGCTGTTGCTGTGGCTGTGGCTGTGGTTGTGGCTGTAGCTGTGGCTGTGGCTGTTGCTCCACTGGTCGATATGCAGCGGCGACGGTGGGAATGGGGGTGGGTGATGGACTTTCCTGCATCTGCACGGGCTGACAGCAATATGTCTGGCCATCATAGGTTGCATGCTGCACCACCGGCGCCGCAAGGACTTGCAGTGGTTGACTATTGCCATCCATCGACTGATACGAGCCAAACGACTGTAGGTTGTTATACCAGACACCATTGTGGTACAGACCAGTTGGTGGCACATTCTGCATTTCGATCAGTGATTGCGGCTGGGGCTGCGGCTGTGGCTGCTGTTGCTGTTGCTGTTGCTGCTGTGGCACCACCTGCCTGTAGCTAGTCCTATCATAGGTTTGTAGATTTTGCTGTTGCTGCTGTTCTATTTGATACCTTCGCATGGTATTCACTATAAAAAACTGAAGAAAAAACCAAATTCTATGGAAAACAAAAATTAAGTTTACGTAGTTTAGATAATTTTTTTAATGCCCAGCCTACTGGCAACTGGCAACTGGCAACTGGTAACTGGCAACTAGCAATTGTGAGCTGAGCACTGACAGACAAGTGTCTCGTTGTACAGCACTGTCAAAAAGTGCTGTACAGCCACGTCAAAAATAATCTTATTTACGCCATTTTGTTGAGCAATTTACAGGTTACATTAGCATTGACGTAACCCAACACCGGCAAGCTAATGCCTCTCAAGGTAGTATATATGTCAAATAGACTGGACGCATATCACTTTTATTTCAAATAATAGAAAACCATTCCAATTTTATTGTTATCAATTGAAAACATCAAAATGTAGTTATTTAATTATATTTGGCTTAATATTGGCTTAAGAGATAGTTAGATTTGAACTTGAGAAACGCCATCTTTTTATTATCTTCCCCTCCCCGTTAGTTGCGATGCAAATTTATTTTAGCATGCTTGCTCTGTCGCTCTCTCATTCCCAGTCTCCATTGATTGCTCATATTTTAAACAGTTATCAATTTCCTATTGCTCTCTCTATTAACAGCACTGCTATTTGCTGTTTAGAATAATCACTCTCTTGCCCACTCACTCCCACTCACGCTGAGCATTAGCCTTCTGCTTTGCACACTCTTCCGCTCTCTACGTCACACAAGCTTTTAGCTAGAAAATGGGCGCCAGCCAGTCGGAACTAAATTTGCATATGTATCTAGCTACTGCCAGATGCACTCTATCTCTGTCACACTCATTTGACATTTGTAATTTACTTAACCAGAGTTGCCAACTCTAAATGGACTTAGTTTAGCTTTCCTTGAAATTTCATTGTCTCTGAGTAGTTTACTTATTATAGAAGTAAGATATGGTTTATTTGTTAGATGCTGCATGATACAAATTAACCCTCTGCATAATTTTCGCCCATATTTAGCCTTATGCACTACAAATAACTTTCTGCCCGATTTGATGTGAAAGAAATATGAACAAAGAATCAAGATAAGTCTTAGTTCTAAATAAAAGTTTTTTTATTTATTTGATTCAGGTCAGAGACAAAATACGATAAAATTATATGAGGAATAGCGAGGACCAGGACCAAGACCTGAGGCACGGCTTGGGTCAGGGGCTAAACGTTTAGCGGCATTTGCATATTTAATTGTCAAGAAAATTACAAAAATTTCGAAAAGAAAATCCAAAAGTTTAGACATAAAAATGCGCATTTAGAGCGAAATGAAGGGAAACTACAGAAGATTGTTATTGTTGTTGCTATTCATAAATCTAACCTCGCGACCGCAAAAGCCATTGGCCAAACGAGAAGTAAAAGAAAGAAAAAGGGTTGGCCCTGTCTTCCCTATGCAAATGAGTTTCACAAACGGGACATCAAATCTCTCTCACTCACACTCTCTCTCTGCCCGTCTCAGCTGGAAGAGTTTGTCAAGCATTTGACAGTTACTTGGGATCAGGTTCCATGCAAAACATTAAAATTAATGCATGGCTGCAATTAAATTTGAATAAAATGTTAAGTTTATCGAATCTTACTCGCTCTCTCCTCTGCCTTACCCTAACTTTTAACCCTTTGCCTCAAGTTTTTTTCTTTCGTAATTGATTGGCCTACGGCAAAGACCGGCAAGCAGGCAGGCTGACAAATTTCCAGATTTACTCTTTTCCACATGAGAAAACGCGCTGCAACACGCACGCAGCTATGCATGTGCGTTGTCTAACACTGTTTGTCACTTTCATTCGTATAGTTCTTGCTTTCCCCTTCCGCCTTCTCTTTAGCTAGGCAGAGTTTCAGCCCACACACGTTACGCAGCAAGCTTCTGCACGCACACTATCTCTCCCTCGCTCCTACCCCATTTGCTTTAGACATTCAGTCTCTCTCGTTCACTCCCACATAAACTCCCCTTCTCCCTTCTACTTAGCTGCGCAACAGGCTTCTGGTATGCGCGCTCATTGTCTACCTCACTCCCACTTAGGCGAAGGATAGCAACATTCTAGATTGCAAACCGTTAGACAAAATTCCAGATGCACGTCTTAACACAATACATACACAATAGCTGCCCGTTAGATGTCTACTTACTCTCTCGTTCCCTCATCAAGCTCTTCCAGTCTCTTCCTCACTCCAATTAAAGCTCTTCTTTCCAGCCAGAAAGCCAATCAGAATGCAATTCCACATGATGTTCTGCCTGTGTCACATTCATTTTCAGATTATCAACTCGTGCTGTGATTTGTATTTCACTTAGGCTTGTCAGAGTTAGCTTTTAATGGTACGAGAGCTGCGAGTCAAAACTAAAATTTTTGCAAAAAAGAAAAAAACCAATCATGATTGCAGGTATTATACGCAATATGCTACGCATTCTTGACTGGGTGTTAGTCGTAATAAGTAAGTAGATAAGCTTAACTATATCATATGTGTATATCTAAATGATAAATTGCTTCTAGTGGAATTTTTGCGTGCTATTAGCTGGTATCACATGAAGCTCTTTGATAGCGCCCATGTCACAGGCCCCAACCTAACGGCACTCATAATCGACCACGAACTGGACATGAGGAATAGACGAGCCATAACTTATACTACGATTCCCAATATCAGCGAAATTTATACAGCACAGCTACACGAATCTTCCGAATAGCCATGAGGTAGCAACGAATCCAATAATTTTGCTTCAATGTTAACCAGAAGGTTTTTACCCATATTACGTTTTCTTAAATATATATGTATATATATGAAGAGTCAACAGATAACACCATTAAAGAACCAACTTTAATATCCATTTCTTTATCCTTATCCGCATCTCGCTTTTTACTTTATCTTTCTCTCTCTCTCTCGCACTATTCCTCTCTATCGTTATTTCTATCTCTTCTCTCCCTCTTTTCCTCTGTCTCTCTCCTGTATCTCCCTCTCTCGCTCTCTCTTCCTCTCTTGCTTTCTCTCTTTCTTCCTCTCTCTCTCTCTCTCTCTCTCTCTCTCTCTCTCTCTCTCTCTCTCTCTCTCTCTCTCTCTCCTCTCTCTCTCTCTCTCTCTCTCTCTCTCTCTCTCTCTCTCTCTCTGCCTCTCAGTCAATGAGTGCGTACATTAATCATAAGAACAGGAGCAGTTAGTGGTTGGGTTTATCGCTGTTCAAGGATCTGCTAATGACTCCGTTGTCCGAGTGCAGAAAATCAATTAAATTTATGAAAAACCCTCAAAATGCTTGCCATGCATCTAATAGGGGGAGGAGAATCGCTATTATGTTGGTTGAAGTACCTTTGGCAACCCTCAGCCTAATGACAAACTGTCAAAGGCTAACGCAGAGCGCGATGCATATCGCACCGCCAGCACCGCCACCGCCACCAGCACCAGCAACCACCAATTCCATCAACTATCAGCGATCAACGACCCACGAACCACGACCCACGCGCCTAACACATTAGCACAAGCGTCGATCTGCAACTTTATGACATATGAGAAATTTGTTTAGCTCCCTTACAGATGTTTTGCCATCGGGTTAATTTCCCGATGCCAGTTTTACGACTCCACAACTTCCCGTTTTTCAACCCCCGCCCACCCCCGTTGACAACTGTCAATTAGGGCGCAGTCAGGAAGTCAAAACACTTGCTGCAGGCTCTTAGGATTTATCTAAATGATGTGATGTGATCTGGTGGTGCGACCTTTACCAAACTCAATGTATCACAGAATATGGAATATATATAGATATAGATAGATATATATATAACTATAACTGTTTTGTTCAAGCTACCTAAGCGATATAGTTCGACCCTTAACCTTGATTACACTCCTCGTTCTCACGTCTCTCATTTGCTTTGTTTATAGTTTTTTTTTTTCGTTGTTTTCCCGCTCGCTGCACAACGCGCCAAAACTTTTCGCACACTTAAAAAAAAAAAGATTTATTGGCACACACACACACACAGAGACACACTCGCACATAAATCTCAATCTGTCTCGAGGAATGCGAATTGTGAAATCGCAAAAATTTAAACCACAAATTAGTCAATAAACAATGGCTAAAGCGGTCATGGGTTAATACGTTTCAAATCAATTGCAATCGGGGCAAAGGTTCGCCTGCCTATTCCCAGCTACATAAGCCACAAGATCGACCCAAAAAGGGTTGCACTCACACACACACGCACACACATAGAGCCTGCTCAAAGCCTTAACCTGAAAATTGCACAAATTTCAACTCCAATTGCATCGCATGGAGGGGGATTCCGAAGAACTGAAAATTAGTTTAAGGCATTCAAATAAAAATTCATAATTTTACTATATATATATATAATATGCTATATATACTTGTTATATTATTCACTCACATTTATTTTTTATGCATTTAAAACTAGCTTCTTATAGAGTAAATTGTTCCATATTACAGATCTTTATATAGTTATGTAAAATATAGTAGATCTATTTAGATTAGAATAAGTTTTTGCTATGCTAATGCCAATGCCAATGCCAATGCCAATGCCAAAGCCAATGCTAATGCCAATGCCAATGCCAATGCCAATGCCAATGCCAAAGCCAATGCTAATGCCAATGCCAATGACAATGCCAATGCCAATGCCAAGGCCAATGCTAATGCTAATGCTCATGCTAATGGCAATTATCATGCCAATGCCAATGTGAAAGATGAAGATAAACGTAATGATGATAATATTTACAACAGCAATGATAATGATGACAATTGCAATGATATATAACTTCACTAGACATCACTTCCAAATGAAAACAGTCTCGACGCGAAGATCTACTTTCCCAGGCTTCACTGCTTGAGTTACTTTTCGCGCAGCCAACTGCAATTAGCGCGCTTTATCAGTTATATAAAACAGACTCGCACACACACACACAGTCACAGAGAGGGGCTTGTATGGGTGCTTTGTGTCAAACCCTTCGCAAAGGTCCGTCTGGCCGTGATTTATGTGACAACTCAATCGCTGACCGTAAGGCTGTTTACATCCGAATTTATGTCACGGAATCAATTGTCCGACACGGGGCAATAAAAACAAGCGCAAATGAGAAAGGCAAATTCGGGCTCGTCCAGATCCGCCCTAGGGCAACTCGGCATCTTGCAAGGCGTTCTAAATCCGGGACGCATCGCGCGCTTGCATAATTTTCCAGTTCAGTGAACCAGCAGCGCGCTGGTGACTGATCGTGATCCTGTCCGATTGTCCTGCGACGTTGACATCCCATAATGAAGAGGTCAGTGGCGTTTGTTTTGGTTGATCCTGCACGGCAGTTAAAGGCTTAACTGGGCCGCAACATGGGCGCGAACTTGCGGTCGATCGCAGGCAGCTGCCGCTGCCGCTGCCACTGCCACTGCCACTGCCACTGCCACTGCCACTGCTGCGGCTGTGATATCCTGTTCATCACTTTTTTTATGCCTTCTCCTTTTATTGGGCAACAGGATGCACCGCGGCTTGGCCACAACAATCGTTTGTGCCCAGTCACATCCTGTCGCCCCACATCCTGCGCATGAATGATAAATGAATCGATTTTCCATTCACAGCCCACAACATTTCCCAGGCTGTTGACACAAAAATCGAGAGCAACTGCGCATAAAAAACAATTGTCAAGCATGAAGAATTGACGAAAAGCCGAAAATCCTGTACGGACGGCAATGACAGCGAGGACTCTCCCATGCAAGACTCTGCCTAGAAGGCAGAAGACTACATTGAGTGCTGTTGATAGTCTTAGAAGTCAAGCAATGGGGACAATGAGTTTGAGAGAATTGGAGAGGGAGACAGGGAGAGAGAGAGAAGGAGAAAGAGAGATGCAAGGACTTTCGATTAGAAGACTCTAAAAGCTCTGCACAGAAGTTAGAATATTTGTAATGGATACTTAAGATAGTCAAGAGAAGGTTAGGGGGCAATGACTTTTATAGAGAATAAAACTGATATGTCTAAAGTGACTAAACTGAATGATTTTTCTCCTGCTCAGCTTTCGGGCAGTAAAAAAACATTGATCAAAGCTGGCCATGACCATGGGCGAGCGAGCGCGCGCAAGAGAGCAGTTCGAACAGCTTCCAAAGGGTTCTCCAGTCAGTCAAACACAATTAAATCCAATTGTGAAAGGGTCGGGTCGCAGCGGCTACTTCCGATATGAACGAAAAAATATGGAAACCTTTTACTGTTGTTGTTTTTTTTTTTTGATGTGCATTCATGTGCATGTAAATAACTTACATGCAATAAAAATCAACCTTCGTTATGGTACGGGACAGGGGCCAAGGCCAGGGAACAGGGCGAGAGCTAGGGGTAGGGGCAGGGGCCAAGACTGCCCGCGGGCTGGTTTCTTCGGTTTGACGGACAACCTCAACGCAGATCGCGATGCAATGTTTTCTTAATTAATTTCCGTTGTTTTCCTTGGCAACAGCATCCGAAAATTGAGAAAACTCTTAGTTTACAGTTACTGAAGTGGATATACTCTAGCAGATCGTTAATTTTACCAATGGTTTCTAAATAATATAGTAATATGCTTTCCAAGTGTACCAAATTTCATAATGATATCTTCACAGAGAGCTGCGGTAACATAGGTAACTTCGTTAATCCCATTCAATTTGATATACAATATGTATTAAGCAGGTGTGCAGACTTTCCAATTGCTTCTCCACGAAGAGCTGAGTTCACATAGGTCATAAATATACTATTGCATACTTCGTTACATATTTAACATGCCCCTTTGGTAAGGGTATCTACATTGTACATACATAAAAAAGGGGTCCCGTTATTTTCTCGATTAGCTAACGTGCAGCAGCGGGTCAATGCCTAGGGTAGCGCCTGGTCTAATCCAATTACCGATTGACCGCGCGCTGCTATCGCTGCCTGCGCAGCGAACACGCCTGCAATGCCTAAGACGTCGCTGTCAGCGTCGCTATCGCAGTCGCCGTCGCAGTCACCGTCGCAGCCGCAGCCGTTGATGATGATGACGTCTTCGCTGCAGCCAGACAGCTGTCCTTTGGGTGTTATTTGTTGCCGAGATTTTTCCGCTTCAGCCATTGTTTCGCTGCGCCGCCTGCCTCAACTGTCTTTGCAGTCTCTGCAGCTTCTTCCAGACATTTCTTTAGTTATGTTTTTTTTTTTTTTGCAGCAGCAGCATTTTGGCATGTGCCGTCTTTTGTCTGCAGCTCTGCAGCTGCCGTCGCCTTTGCTGCTGCTGCATTGTTACGTATTCCGTCTTTTTGTTCAATTTGTGTAAAATGTGCCAATTATGCTGCTTATTACCGTTAGCAATAGAAAACGAACGAACGAACGAACGAACGAACGAACGAACGACGAGCGTGCGCAGAGAAAATCAAATACAGCTGCGCAGTAACTCTCTCACCCACTCTCTCTCTCACACACACACATACGCGCGCGCACTCTGTCGCATGCATGTGCACGGAATGACCGTGGAAGCAAAATGCGAGCGCACAAAAGCGCAAGCGCAGCATTGCCACCTTGCAAAAAGCTTGCAAAAAAGAACCTCCTGCTGCTGCCTGGCAACACTGTCACCCATTTTCTTGCTAATTGTCAACTTCTTTGCGCTGCTTATGCAATAATTTATTATTTATTGATTATTAATATATAAAAATGCTCGCCAAGCTGTGCCAAGATCATAAATACAGGCTTGGCTCGTTTCTGTCTCTTAAGCACATTTACATAACAACTAATATACTCTGCTTTGCAGCATTTGCAGAGTAGCAACAGCTACTTTAAGCAAATTGTGTAAATAGTTTGATCAAAATACTCTGAATAACGCCCAAATTGGACAGATCAAAGAAGTGGATTATACTCGTAGTCCCCCAAATTTCCTTTTTTCTTTTCCTTGGCCCTTTTACATAAGAAAAGCCCCCTAATTGCAAACAAAAGGGGTATTACGTGTCGACCCCTCCCCTGCCACTCTCTTACCCCCGCCCGGTCTAATAATATCGAACGCTGAAATAAATATTTGAGCTGGAGTTTTCATATTTACGCTTGAATTTTCATTGGATTTTCCATTCAACCCTTAGCGGAAAATTTGTTGAAACAACTGTGTAAATACTTTCGCTCCTTGCGCAGGGGCACAATCATTTTTTTCATTATTTTTTCCCAAAAAATATATATATAATGCTAAGCTGGCAATCAAAATACAAACAAAACTTTAATTCCACCAAAAAAAGGGAATTTTTTATATTTACAAATTTAGTTTAGTTCCTTTGTTCCGTTTGAAGCACCTGAACGGGCAGCCAACGCCTCCCCCTGGCCGCCCTCCTCTGCAATTTGACTTTGTTAAATTGAGCATTTTTCAACACTGTTCTAATCCCTTTTGATTTTCCGCTTTTGTTTTTCCTTTTTTCTTTTTGTTTTGGTTTTGCTTTGTTTAACGAGAACCGGATTTTACTTGTTCGCACTTTGCTGCTCCAAATGGCACTTTCCGTATCACTGAACATCTATGAAAAACTTTCCGTTTGTGCCGTCAATTGAAGTGAAAATAGAGGAGGAGAGAAGAGAGTGGGGAGAGGAGAGAAAAGGGAAGAGTTGCGGAAGAAAAGAAATGAGTGAAAGTGGAGCAGGAAATAGAGAATAGAGCAGGGAGAAGTGTAGAGAGAAGAGTGAAGTAGAAAGTGAAAAAAGAGAAGAGTAAAGACAGAAAAAAAGAAGAGAAAACAAAGATGAGAGAGGAGAGAAGACAACAGAGAAATGAGAGAATACAGATACAAGCTTAGAGATGAGAGAAGTTAAACGAGAGAAGAGAGATGAGAGAAGAAGGAGACAACAGAGGGAGAAGAGGAAGAAGGTAAATAGCAGATTAGATCAGAGAGATATGAGAGAAGTGAGAAAAGAGATGACAAAAAAGAGAGAAGTTAAAAATTGGAAGAGAGAAGAGCGAAGAGGGAAGTGAGATGAGGGAAATGAAAAGAAAGAAGAAAGTTGAGAGAGAAGATCAGAGAGATGAGAAAAGAGATGACAAAAAAAGAGAGAAATTAAAAATTAGAAGAGAGAAGAGCGAAGTGAGAGAAAGCAGATAAGAGAGAAGACAGATAACCGATTTGAGGTGAGAGAAGACAGAGAACAGATGAAATCAGAGAGACGTAGCAGCCGAAGGTCAGGAGATTCAAGAGGAGAGACTAAAGTAGTCTGTGTTTTTCCGGATCTCAGCAAGCTTTTGCGCTCGATTTGATTGATGCAGTGTGAAAAATTGGGATGTGTGAATCGGTTTTAGTACTCCGTTAAAATTCTAGCATGTATATATATATAAAACACGCACATCAAATTTCCAAACCCGATATATATATATATATATATTTATATATATTATATTATATATTTTTTTTTGTTTCCGAGCCATTCATATTGAGTTATAACTAGAAGAGGAAGAGGAAGAAGGACGCAGAGTGCTGAGGCCATGTCCCACAAGTCGTCGAGTTCCAAGCAGGAGGCGGAGGAAGATGATGCAGACGGAGAGTCAGAAGATGCCAACACGGAACCGCAAACGGATGCGGGAGCCAAAGTGGAAGAGGAATTGAAAGTGTGCTCCATCTCCTCCTCCTCCTCCTCCGGCGGCTCCATTACAGTTGCCTGCTCCTCCAGCTGCTACTGCAACCAGCCGCTCGCTGCAGCGGCGGCCACCAATCTGAGCCTATTGCTGCAGCAGGAGCAGATTGCCCAGCAGAAATTGGCCCTGGATGCATTAGGCCACCAAAGAGAAGCACACGAAGACCATGGCGGAACGATGGGCCTTAAGTATCGTTGCTATCGCAGTCGATCGGCCAATCAGCTCAGCTGCAAGGGGCGCGAGCAAGCGATGGAGCTGGAGCGCAAGCAAATGGTCAAACAGGAACTAGACAGAAGGCTGGAGCGGGAGAGGATGCGGGAGAGGGAGCGGGAACGAGAGCGAAAGCGAGGACTGCTGGAGTTGCTGGCGCACGAGTGGGAGCAGGATCAGAAGCTAAGAAATCCACAGGCAATGGAGCAGGAGCAGGAGCAGGAGCAGGAGCAGGAGCAGCCGCAAAGCCACCTCAAACGAAAGCTGGACCAGGAGGAGCAAGAAATACTGAAGCCATATACATTCTCGGAGCTGAAGCAGGAATCGCAACAGTTGAAACGGAAGCTGGAACGAAAGCAGGAGCAATATGCCAGCGTAGAGCTGAAGGAGCAACTCGAGCTGCGGGTAAGGCAATCCGTTGAAGATGTCCAAATGGCAGAGCAACAGGCGCCGCGCGTTGACTCCGATCCCAGCGAAAATCAGCCCGTAACCACGAATATTGAGCATGAGCAAGAGCATCAGGATGGAGACGGGGATGTCGATGGGGATGGTGATGGGGATGGCGATGAGAATGGGAATGCGAATGGGAATGGGAATGCGAATGGGAATGCGAATGGGAATGGGAATGGAAATGGGAATGGAAATGAAAATGAAGATGAGGACGAGGATGATGATGACGAGACAATGCCCACAACGCCATACACCTATGTGAACGAGAGTCCGAGCGACTATCGACCAGGTGGCTATCATCCGGTGAACGCGGGCGACTCGTTCCAGCAACGGTACTTCGCCATCAGCAAGCTGGGCTGGGGGCACTACTCGACGGTGTGGCTATGCTACGACACGCAGCGGGGCTGCTACTGCGCCATCAAGCTGGTCAAGTCGGCGGAGCTGTACGCGGAGTCGGCACGGCACGAGATCCGCCTGCTGCGGCACATCTCGCAGCTCAGCTGGCATCCGCTGCGCGATCGCCTGGTCAACATGACGGACAACTTCAGCACGAGCGGCGTGAATGGCACGCACCAGTGCCTGGTCTTCGACGTGCTGGGCGACAATATGCTGATGCTCATCCAGCGCAGTGGCTACCAGGGCCTGCCGCTGTACAACGTCAAGCAGATTGCCTACCAGGTGCTGCAGGGCCTCTACCTGCTGCACGATCAGGGCAATCTCATCCACACCGATCTCAAGCCGGAGAACGTCTTGCTGGTGGCCGATGAGCTGTCGCTGCGCAGCCAGGCCACGGTGGCCTCCCAGGAGTACCTCGAGGCGCACCAGCAGCAGCTGGGCCTGGTCGAAGCGAAGCTGAGCAAGACGGCCAAGCGGCGCCTGCGCACCAAGACCAAGCAGAGCATCAGCTTCTTCCAGGCGCACCGCAAGTGGCTGCGCGAACGCGGCATCCAGGATCTGCTGCAGCTGGCCAAGCATGGCCTGCTGCCGCTCAAAATGGCCCTGGACGCTGTCACCAACCAGTTGCCCTATCTCGCCTACGACGGACCCATCATCTTCAATGCCGCAGATGTGCAGCAGATGCGACTCGGCCAGGAGCAGTCGAGCGCTGAGCAGGTCGGCGATACCCAAGCACCGAGTCCGGCCAAGAAGCGGCGCTCGGAGCTACCCGAAGCTGGGGGAGCCAACAACTCGGCGTCGTCCTCCGCGAAGGCACTCAAGATTCTGCAGAGCAGCACCGAGAAATTCATGCGCTATGTCCAGAGATGCATCGAGAAGGATGAGAAGGAGGAGAAGGGCAGCGAGTCGCATTATTCGAGCAGCAAACGCATCAGGATCAAGAAGCCCGCCAAGAAGCCGCCGACTCAGCGTCAAGTCGACCTGCCCAGCCCCTCCTCGAACGGCAGCCCACTCAATATGAATCTGATCAAGCGCAAGGATCCCGCTCTGGAGCCCTGCAAGGTGAAGGTGGCCATTGCCGATGTGGGCAACGCCTGCTTCGTCGATCACCATGTCACCGAGGATATACAGACGCGCGAGTATCGCGCTGTCGAGGTTATACTGGGCGCCGGCTATGACACCTCGGCCGACCTCTGGAGCGCCGCCTGTCTCTTCTGGGAGCTGGCCACGGGCGAGTATCTCTTCGAGCCGAACAAATGGCGCGGCGACGCCAGCCAGGATGAGGTGCATATTGCTCACATCATCGAGACCTGTGGTCCCATACCCAAGGAGCTGATAGCCCGTGGCGAATACTCAACGGAGATCTTCAATCCCAATGGCGAACTCTTGAATATTAAGCATTTGGATGCGCATCCTTTGCACAAGGTCCTCATGGAGCGGTACAATTGGTCGGCCAACGATGCAAATGAATTCGCGGACTTTCTGAAGCCGATGCTTTGCACGAATCCTTTGCGGCGCATTACAGCCTTTGCGGCCATCAACCATCCTTGGCTGCTGCTCAACGACCTCGAGGACGAGGATGAGCAGCGGACGTCCAGGGAGAGCAAGGCATAGCGCCAAGGAGAGATGCAGTGGGAGTGGTAGTGGAAGTGGGGGAGGAAGTGGGAGAGTGAAAGAGTGGGAGTGGGAGTAGGAGTGGGAGTGAGATTGTGAGTGGGAAAGTTAAAGTGGGAATGTTAGAGTGGGAGTGGAAGTTGGAGTGGAAGGTGGGAAGGAAGTTGGAATGAAAGTTGGAGTGAAAGTTGGAGTGAAAGTTGGAGTGAAAGTTGGAGTGAAAGTTGGAGTGGAAGTTGAGAGGGAAAGGGAGATTAAAATGGAGAGGGAAAAGAAGAGAGGCAGACACAAACGCATTCGTTCAGAAATTCATAGAAAATCAAATCAAATTCATACGATTACAGGGTATATATATATATATATATATTTTTTACATGTGCAAAACAAGAATGCTTATTTGACAATTGAAATTTGAGTGCCCAATAGTAATTAGTTTGATATCTAAATCAACAAACACACACACATACAAACACGCCCGTGCATTTGTAACTGATTACATACTTATGTCCATACCTAAACAAGTCAAAAAACTTGTAACACATTATATTAATGTACTCGATATATGTATTTGTTAGCTTCGAATTTAAATAATAAATAAGAAACGCGCGTCTACGATGTGTAAGATCGATTAAGGCTATCGATATCTCTAGTCATGCAACACTGCATAATTTGTTTCACCATAATTTACATAAAACATAGAAATTAACGTATTTACGTAGCTATTCGCTTCAGTTATGTTGCAGCGCATAAGCTAGATAACCATATTGTTGATTAAACATATCAGACACGAAGCTCAACAATTAAATTAATCATATTCAATTTATTTTTATACAAATAGTGCAAAGAACTGAAAGGTATATTTACAGTGGTATATATACAGTATTTTAACATATATGTTGAAGTATTTTGCACATTCAACAGTGCGGTCGCACTACGTGTAAAGCTGTGAACTTTGTAACGCTGAAATAGGCGCGAAGTCGTAAGTGTAAATAAAGCATAAGAATAAAAATTCATTAAGATAAAATAGATATTACTATCGTAAATTTGAAATGAAATATCTGCGTATGCACAACCCACTCTGTGTGCATGTTAGCATTACATAAATCGCACATATTTTGATAACGCATGATAAACAGAGCAGACAGCAACTACGGAAATATTTGCCGACATACACACACTTGCATTCATTGTCATTCAAGGTTGGATTATAACAGGCAGAGATGCGGCTATGCGCTAAATTTGAACGGAACAACTGACGGGGTTCGATTGGCTGTTGCGCTTATCACATTTCCAATTACAGATAATGCTGAATGAGCTACTTCACTACTTCATTACTTAGAAATAATAGTAATTACAATTCATTAAGTATGCATGCTTGTGTATGTATGTGTGACCTTAAAACTGAATAAAGCTTTTACCAGTAATAAATTATGGTCTCTCTGTTAAGACTTTGAGCCGAGCTTCAAGGCAGGTACGCTGTACGCGCTAAAAAGACAAATAACAAAAGCTTTAATCTTAGCTGCTGCCGTATGTTATAAAAATAAATTTCGAGACCGTTTGTCATTTTACTTTTACTTACATTTATTTGTAGATTGCTGCTGAAATTGTTTGCATATGTAACAGCCAAGCGCAGCACTGCGCTTTATCACAACCTGGTCACATTGCGCAAACATTTAATGTCGTCTCCTAGATTACTAAGTCGCAGTAATTTTGTATTATACGCGTCGGGTACATGGCGCTATTTAAGCCTGTCAACAGGAGCAATTACAGCAGCAACAAAATTAATCCACAAATATTCCAGCAACAATATTCCCGCCTTCGGTAAAGAGCATACGCGTTCATATCAGCGGTAAGTGCATACCTAACTCATAAAAGAACATATGTGACATAATAAATGTATTAAATAATGACAGTTTTAAAAAGATGGACACACCGCTGGATGTCTTTCAAGGGGTGAAGGATCGTTTTCACGGTGTAACGGTTGATGGAAATCAACAGGACATTGCTGACAAAGCGCAATTTTGCGAAAAGCTGCACAGTAAATTATATAATAGAATTGCATTTTTATTTGCGCAATCGTACTATATACATATGTATATTTGTAGAATCTTTGGACTTTTGGCGAGAGAACAAGAATCGCGCAATTTGGTTTCACGTTTATAAAAAGCAGGCGGATTGGGTTCCCATTTTGGCTGATGCAGGATTCGATTTTCATCACGCACGCTCAGGTGTCGTCACCATGTACATTTGGTTGCCCAAAGACGAGTCCAACAACTTACCTAGCTATGCACACACACTGGTTGGCGTTGGTGGCTTAGTGATAAACGAACGCAATGAAGTACTTGTCGTGTCTGATAAACATGCGATAGCAAAAAATATATGGAAATTGCCTGGTGGCTATGTAGAACCAAATGAAAATTTGGTTGATTCTGCAGTGCGTGAGGTCATGGAAGAGACGGGCATACGGACCACATTCCGCTCGATGGTTTGTCTGCGACACTCGCATGGCGGTAACTTCGGATGTTCCGATATTTATGTGGTCATTGCCCTCAATCCATTAAATCTGGAACTTACGCGATGTGAGCGTGAGATCACTCGTGTAAAGTGGATGCCACTGGATGAGTATTTCTGCCATCCCGAAGTGCTGGACGCCAGTAGATTGTTTGTGCGGACCTATCTGGATTATCAAAAGCGTGGCCTCGACTTTACTTGCACTAACATGATGCATGCCCTGCTCAAAAAAGAATATCAATTGTATTATGTTAGTCAGGGAAAGGACGGTAACCAACAAGTGCCAAAAGTGTAGTGCAATTATTTCGAATTAACTGCAGCTTTATTTGTAAATAGATAAATGTATAACAAAAATGTGAAAACAATTTGAGTTTGCTATCACACTTGCCTGTCATGTTGCTAATCGGTGCCTGTGGAGTTCAACTGTATATTTAGTGCACCAAGGGACTTTCGACTTGTCTTAATGCTGGTAGTTAATAGTGAGAGTTAAAGCCGTTCATCGATAACACTTTTTTTTTCTATTTATACTGGTCGTTAATTTACAATAAAAATAAAGATAACTATAAATTTGTTGATCGCCTTTCTTGGTGGCTAGAGGCTTGTTAGTTCTGTGAGTGGCCAAATGCGACAGATGACTCGACTGCGTATTAGACCAAGCGGTATGGGTCCGTAATAGCGTGAATCCGAGCTATTACCCTTATTATCACCTTCGATCCAAACACAGCCATGAGGCACATAATCTGTGACCATTGCAACTTTGCTCGGGTGTTTTGACGCCGATTCGGCTTCCATTGGAGTGGGCTTAAGTGTAGTTATCTTTTCCCCAGACACAGCTACAATTCTCTTGCATATATACTGGCTAGCATTAACTGGCGAAACGGCAATTATAATATCGCCAGATTGATATTTGCGCCAATATTTCGAAATACGTTCCGTTAGCAGTACATTATCAGAAAAGAGCGTTGGCTCCATCGAGGGTCCTTTGCACTGAAAGAAGAGCACGCACAATTTAAATAAATACATAATAGGCAAATCATTACACACTTACCAAAACAAAGTCCCCTACATACTCAAACGTACAATGCGTTATACAAGCGTAGGCGATTGTGTAGCGTGCCAGGGTTCGCAAACGTGAGAGCACTGTGTAGCCCATGCTCATCTTTATCATGGCTATGGCTCCGCTACCCTTGGGTCTCCCTTAGTTAATGTGAAAACGTGGCAGCTATGATACCGTTGCAGCAAAACATATTTAAAATAAATAAATATATATATATATATATTTCAATTTTTGGTAATTAATAACAAATAACAAAAAAATAATCTGCCATAGCTGGCTGCTTCATTACCAGGGCTACACAGAACTGCCTGCCAGCCTTATCTTGCTTGCACTCTATCGATAGTTTTACCAGGGCTACAATTGCATTGGTGCCCGTGGCTCTTGTTGCGACGACTAGGCGGCAAATTCAAAAAGTTATACGCATTCACAACGTCGTGCGAGTTGAAATAATTAATGTAAACTCTAAATTTTGCACACACACACAAAACAATAATAATTCTATTTATTATTCATGTTCAACCACTGACAAACTTTTTCTACTACTGTTTTTTTTTTGTTTTTAATTTTCTTTTTTTCCATTTTTTTGACTAATAACGCAGAGCATTTTGACTGATAGTTTATGTATATATGTGTGTATATATATAATCCAGGTCTCGCTTTGTATTCAGTTTAGTGGTAGTTAGTCCTTATACATTAAAATGTTTAATACACATACAGTTAATTGGTTAGATCAAGAGAATTCTTTGCTAAAATGGATGACATCAAATTCCAATTGTTAACAATATCTATATGCATATGACTATAACATTAACTTTAACTTAGGCAAATAAATATATATAAAATAATTTACAATGCTTGAATCACCACACAAATTCAAATTTTAAATATATATATATATATATATATATATATATATATATATATAAATATATATATTTAAATATATATAAAATAAATAGTATTACAAATGAAAAAAAAATTAAATGTCAACTAAAAATTCAACTATAATAATTAATTTTTGTTTTTTTTTTTTTTGTTGTTATTTGGAATCAGTTGTTGCTTCGTACTTTTTAATTGTTCTCTCTTTCGCGCTTTCATTCTTTAGCTTTAGCTGATTTTCTTTTTTTTTTTTTTTTTTTGGTTTATTCCAACTTTTTGCCAGAGTTTTGGATTTCCGGATTGAGACGCTTCTCCTGGCGTTCACGCGCATCCACTCCTGCCAAATCGATGCCAGCTACATAGGCGTGCATCACAGAGATCAAAGCCTTCAGCACAGCGAAGGGGCCCGTGAGGAAAGCCAAAATTTTAAATAGCGAAGCGCCAAATACTGAAGAATCAAAAGAGTAAATTAACAAATAAAAAATGAGAGTGATCAAGCAGGAAGTGCCTGTCTAGAGGATACTCTAAGCCTTGCGAAAGCTTTAGCTTTTGCAATTCTCGGAGAGGTCGACAGGCCGTGGATACAGGTAAAGACAAGTGCACGAGCTGACAAAGCAGAATAATAACAATAGCTTTAAGAATATAATTACTCAAAGGTCCATAGGTGAAATGCAATAGATAGAGGCAAACGTAGAACAGCTCATTCACGCAGCACATGAAGGTGAGCACATCCTTCTGGTAATAGATACGCATTACAAAGTTGTCGTTCACCTTGTGCGAGACACGTCCAACGATAACGCTCCTGCAATGTTATATGATTATAATTATTACTAATTATTGAATCTATTTGATTTACGTTTGCATATAGAGCCAATGGCAGGCGACATCAATGGCGATCGACAGCTGGAACCAGAACATATATTTCGGGTAAAAGTAGGCCAGGGTAACAAGCAAACCCGTTGTACCACATCGATCCGTCAGCTGATCCAGCATAGCGCCAAAGCGCGTGCCTAAAAAGAGAGAGAAGCAAATTAAGCAAAGCCTTATGTGAGACCAACTGGAAGCTGAGCGTATTGGCCGACTGCGAAATACCTCGCAGTTATTATTATTACAATTTTTAATGATTTTTCAATATTGGACAAAGCTATGACTGAACGGCAGTTGAGCGTGTTGCCCGACGTAAATACCCCGCAATACTAATTTCAGTCTACATGTCAATTTAAAATTTTACATCTTCTTCGGAAAATACCCCTAAAACCGAAGACTTTAACTAAAATGTATATAAAAACAGTTTTTTCAACGTTTGTAGATACCCCATCTACTTCTGCCTTTTTTTTAATGGGTATATTAACCTAAGCCGTGGAACGCCGGCTCATGCCGCTGAGTTAAAATATGTAAAATATCGCACCATACGATATCAATTTTAGACACGTATGTGGCTAAAGTGCACGAACAACAACTAGATACGTTTAGATACGTTTTTGCCCGATTTGCCGGTCTGTGTAAGTCACATTTCGTGAGTCTCGTTGAAAATTGATGACCAGATGAAAGAGATGTTGAAGACGTCTTCGTGGGAAACTTACTCTGATTGAAGGCCCGGGCGGCATGTCCATCGACAGCGTCCAGTAGTGCACTAATTATATAACACCAGCCGGCGATCACATAGTTCGTGGACATAAACCAAAACGCAATAATGGCCAAAATAATGCGTGCATAACCTGTAAAAAAAAAAACAATTTAAGAAAACAATGCGAATTACACATACACGCAAACAAATGCAATTCACATTCCAATCGATAATGTGCCTGTGTGCGCATATAGATGGCGCTGTAGGTGACATTGGTGATTGGTTGAGAGAAGAGGAGGGGTTGTTGGCGTTGTGCATTTCACAGGCTGCAACGCCAGCGCCACCAACGCTTGCTAATTGAATTAAGCCAGCAAAACAACAATACCAAATCTATGTATACATATTTGATGCTGCTACACACACACACGCATTGCACCGTGGGCGCACAACCAAAATAATTAAGTAAAAAAATCACTTTTCAATCAGCAAAGTTTTATACTTTGGGATTTAATGTTTATAATTCATCCAAACATACTCTGCACAGGTTTTAAAAACACATTTTCAATTCAATTTTTTGCCGATTTGCACACATAAATAGTTTGCTTAATCTAATCGATTTCAGCCCACTCACTATACGAGACGTCACATTTGTTTACCAAACGAAAACTTACCAATCAGATTCGGCACGAAAATAAAAACGTTATCATGCTCGGCCATGGCCATTGTAGGTACCGTTTAGTCTATATTATTGATAAAACGTTATATTAAATATATATGCTTTAATTAAATGCGTTGCGGCGCTGTAACGTGGCTCGCGCTGCAATATTTTTCTACGTTCTGTTCTACGGCTGTGCAAAAATGGCGCTGTATACACGGGCATACAACAGCTGACGAGCAGTGTTGGCTAATATTCATCAGAAATGGCACAGGGAAATGAACAGGTATCACTAAATGTTTTTTGCGTAGCTTTAGAAAGCACTCAGGACTGGATTGTAAATAGAAATTGAATTAAGGAATATGCATATAGAATGATTGGGTATTTTGCAAAAATAATATGAAACCTATTAACCTAATATTATTAAGATGTGACGTCACATTTATGCAACAAAATACAACCTGAGCATGTTGTTACCTTGGCATAATTTGTCAGCGTTTGCTCTAAAGCATTGTACAGCACTTGTAAGCTGTTACAATTTTTTGTTTTTTGACAAATTCATTTAATATAAAGGGCAGAATATAATGTATAAGCACTTCAAAAATAACTAAAAATCATGGAAAAACTACGTAATAATAGCACTGCCATCGTACAGCCGGCAGAGCAACAACAACAACATCAACACACACACCATCACCATCATCATCACCACCACCAACAGCTCGACCAATACCCGAAGAGTCCAATTGAACAATATCTTCGCGCCTCAACAAAAATTAAAAAAATTGAACGTGTTGTGTTCTTCAAGTAAGTGGCTCAGCGTGATTTAATTGCTTATGTGTTGGTTGCAATATAAATATGCTTTATTGACAGACGCTTTGCTCCAAACGTGGCCGATGTCCAGGCCGACTTCCAACGTTTGGCCTATAGCTTCGAGGAATCGGGCATCATGCAATATGCGGCAATGTGTCATATTGGTTATGCCAAATGTGAGTCATATGGTGGCACACCGCAACGTGAAGCTGAGGCTTATGTGCGCTCTGCTCGTGCCTTTCTCTTAGCACACAACGAATTCCGACAGCTGCACCTGCGCAGCGGCCATAATGGTTTCCGTGAAGGTGCGCTCCATTGCTATAATAAGGCCGCTGAACTTGTAGCCGATAGTGGAGTATTCAAAGCAGCTGTGCTGCGCGAGTTGAAACATCTGAAACGTAAATTGGAACGTACAAGCAGCTTTGCCTCGCCCACACATCAGATCAACGATCTGGAGATTAGCGCTGAGATGAGTATGCAACGTGAGGATTATCGTGGCGCTTTGCAACATTTGGATGACATTGTGGACAACATTTATGAGCGACGCAAACCATCGATGTATGGCGAACTATTGCGACGCGTCGAGGTGCTGCGTCTCCTATTGCTTGTTCATCTCAACTTGCCGCCTGCACGCCAATCGCCAGCACATATTAAATTGATTGAGTACTATTACACGCTTGCCCAGTATGAGACGCCATCGCAGCTGATTAGCGGCGCCAATCAGCCAACAGAACGTGCCGGCGCCTCGGTGCCAATACAGCAACAGTATGGCTTGGCGGAAATCATTTGCGCCTGGGTTGAGCGTAACATGTGCGACCTGAAGCATTTGCTGCGTGACTTTGGCGCCGAGAACATTTCGATCAGTCAACAGGAGCGACAACTACTCAAGACTATCTATTCCGAACTATCAAAGATATATTAGGGCAGCAGCCCATTCGTATATACACCCTTATCACACATTCCTTCTTTGTTCATTCATTTATTCGTCATTCTCCCTACCGGAGGAGAAACAGCTGCAACAGGTAGCGAATATATCTCTTCCGTATTATCAGCTGCTCGCTCTTACATATGCATCCTATTGTATTAATTCTTTCATTCAGCTATTAGCTGCTCAGGAGCCCATCTACATCGAATTGTTAAAGATCGACTAGAGCAGCGTAGAAAAGGTGCTAAAAACAAAATTTCTATTTCGGATTATCAATGATCTTTTTTTTTTGGGCAGCCTCCCCCACCCCCTTCCCCACCTTATCTTTCATCACTCATTCCTCAAACATATATCTATACATTAACTCCTTCGTTCATCGCCTGGCGCGAAAAAAACTAAATATATATATATATATATATATATAATATATATATATATATATTTGTATATATATATATATATATATATTTGTATATATATATATATATATTTGTATATATAGACACAATATGTAACATATAAAAGGAACAAAAACAAATGTAAGAGCAAATATGTACAATATATATATATATATATATAAATATATATACATATATATATATATATATATATATATATGTATATATATATATATAATAAATGTAGCATATATATAGTATATGGAATATCGAGAGTCTACCAATTAAACTTTTCAACGTGCCTACTCGAAAAAAGGAGATGTATAAACGATATTAGCTTATAATAATATAATCTTAACAATAATATTAATGAAAAAACCATGTATAAAACTCTCCAGTACAATAAAACGATGAAACATGTTTTCTAACCCGAGCTGGGACTAATGAATTTGTCGATCATTCTAGGATGTGTGTAGCGCCATCTATTATATATTTTCTGCAACTGCCTCATACTCTGCATGGTAACTCCCCGCTATGGAAGTTTGAATATATATAGAAAATGTCAGCTCTCGAGATTATTAAACTCAAGGAGAGGGACAGACGCCCTCATATATATATTATATTTTGAATGGGCTTTACTTTCGAAGTTAAAATTTTTTAGGCTTCTTTTATTTATAATGCATTCAAATTCCAAATGTTAGTATTTTTTCGAGATTAAAAAATCAATCCTTTTGCGTCTATTTTTTTTTCGTTTTATTTTTATTGAATTTTAATTTTCGAGTTCAACTAGGTTTTTATTTCGCATTGTATTGTATATATGTTTATTGTATATCAATTTTTTTCATTAAACAATTTAAGTTTCCTTTTTATTCATTTTAATTATTTTTTATTTTTGTTTACTCTTTTAAAAAACGTTTCGTTTCTTTCGTCTTCGTATATAAAAAAAACATTTACAGCATTTTATTTTTCTCTAGCAATTTCCAATTGTTTATAAACTATCAAAAAAGTTTGATAAATATATATTTTTATTTTATTTTTGATTTTGGGAAGGGCAGCGGGCAGTAGCAATTTTATTATTTTTAATTAGCTGGTCTTGCGATTTGTTCATATTTATCCATTCATATACATATATATATATATATATATATATATATATATATATATATATATATATTTATATATACACATATTCTATACATATATATGTCTGTATATTTCAATATTGTTTACTATATTTTTATTTATATTTAGTTTAAGCGCTTTAAACAATTTGAAACCTAGCAAAAAATTTGTTTTCAAAATAAAAAAAAAAAACATTAAAATAAAAATAAAAAATAAACACCTAAGCCACAGCCTGTTGTGCACAACATGCCAGAGTGCATGTGTGTGTGAGTGTGTGTATGTATGTGTGTGGCTTAAGCTTAAGATCACAAGCATTTGCTGTTGTTTCTTTGTTTGTTTTTTCTTTCTTTTTGACTCACATTTTATTTAAATTTAAATTGAAACAGAAAAAAAAAACGGAAAAAAATTCACCTATAAATTTGTGTTGTATTGTGTATTATGTGTGTGCCGTGTGTGTAGTTAAGGTCCTGTGTAAAGTCAAAAACTAATTTCGCACACAATTTATGAAAGACAGAGCGAGAGGCGCAGCAGCTGCGAGAGCGAGAAACTTTTTTTAGAAGAGTTTTTAACCGTATTTTTGAGTGTGAGTGACTGTGTATGTGTGTGTGTTGTGGGCTGTGTGTGTAGCTAACTATTTATTAGCCGCCTTGGCCTTCTTCTCATGCTCGGAGGTAATCTTGTTCTTCAAGTGATCCTTGTAGTCCAAAATGCCGCCCTTCCATTTGGTCACCGTCTCCTTCTCACAAACCCAAATCTCCTCAGCGACCTAGAAAAGCAGGCAAAGCATTGTCATAATCTTGCCTCTATTAATATATGTATTGGTATGTTTACCTGATTAATCAGACGGAAATCGTGACTAACTAACACCATGCCACCATCAAAATCATTAATAGCATCTGCCAGAGCATCGATTGTTTCCATATCCAAATGATTTGTAGGTTCGTCAAGTAGCAGCAAATGGGGCACCTGCCAGGCCAGCCAGGCGAAAACAACGCGACAACGTTGTCCGTCCGACAGCTGACGTATAGGGCACACTTGCTGGCGGCCAGTTAAGCCATACCGTCCAATTATCTTCCGCATCTCCTCCTTCTCTTTGACATCGGGAAAGGCGCGCATCATATACTCCAAGGGACTGGCATCCAGATCTAGCAGCTCGTGCAGATGCTGATGATAGCGTGCAATGCGTAAATGTGAATTTTTACGTATCATGCCAGATGTGGGGACCAGATCGCCGTAAAGCAGTTTTAGCAGCGTCGACTTGCCAGCCCCGTTAGGGCCGACCAAAGCGAGACGTGTATCCAGGTCGATGCCAAATTCAAGGTTCTTATAGATCCAAGGCGTTTCGTCGTTGTACCGGAAGTTAACATTCTAAAAAAAGAGAGCATACATTAAAGAGATCATCTATATGTATAAATGTATATTGTCGATTGACTCACCTGCACCATGATCACAGGTGGCGGCACCTTGCCACATGATGGGAAATAGAAATTGAGCACCTTGTCATCGGTTACCTTTTCGGTTAAACCTTGGGCAACCATTTTGGCCAATGTCTTCTCCTTGGACTGCGCTTGTCTGGCCAATTTGGCCGAACCGTGACCAAAGCGTGCTATATAGTTCTTCATGTTCGCTATCTGATCCTGTTCCCAATTATATTGCTTCATCTGATTCTCCAGCAGTTCCATTCGTGTCCGCACAAAAGCCTCATAGTTGCCCGTATAATATTTCAGACGTTTGCTGGTCAAATGAATGATGTTCGTGCAAACGCCATTGAGAAAGTCCTGCGAGTGTGAAATGAGCACCAGGATGCGCTTATATGTCTTCAGCTCCTCCTCCAACCACACGCACGCATCCAAATCCAAATGATTTGTCGGCTCGTCCAGCAGCAGCAGATGCGGCTTAACAAATAGAGCGCGAGCCAATGCAATTCGCATACGCCAACCACCTGAACAAGGAGCAAGCACAGAGTATTAGAAACCGATTTTTTTTCTTCGACCAAGTGACATCGCTGCCACACATGAAAGTGGGAGAGAAAGAAACCTATAGGACTGATGATACATCGGAATGATTGATTGATTAATATGAAGTGAAGACAAAGACGAACAGATTTTATAGATAACTTAACAGATGAAGGAATATGTGCACTAGACAACTGGGATAGATTAAAATATGATATATAAGATCGATTCTTACCGGAGAAATCCTTCGCTTGCTTATGTTGCATGGCCTTATCGAATCCAAGACCATGGAGGATGCGTGCCGCCTTGGCCTCGGCCTGATCTGCAGACATATCATCGAGACGTTCGTAGATATCGATTAGCTGCTCTTGGGCATCATCCTCATCGCTCATGGCGAGCTCCTCAGCAAGTTTTTCTAGCTTGATACGCTCCTCGTCCACCTCCATGACGCACTGCAGTGCACTCTTCGTACTGGCTGGTATCTCACGGGTCAGATGGAATATATCAATATGAGGCGGTATGGGCACCTCACGTCCGCCAAGGACAGCGAGCAGCGATGATTTGCCGCAGCCGTTCAAACCGATTAGACCATAGCGACGACCACAATTCAGCTCCAGCATCGTGTCCTGCAGGAGTTCGGAGCCAAAGAACGTTATCGAAAAGTTGGCGATCTTTACATCACGCGATCTTGGATGCACGGCCAGAGAACCAGTGCAGGATCTTGCCTCGGCACTGATTCTAGCCTCCTCCTCGAGCTTTGCGCACAATTTCTCTTCCTCCGTCATTTCACGATCCAAGCCGTTAGCGGTGCCATTTGCTTTTTTTGTGGATGGTATTTGTTGGATCTTCTTGTTCCGCGCATCCTTCTTGCGTTGCGCATCCCGTTTCTTAGCGTCCGATGGCATTTTGCTTCTCTTTTCTTTTTTCTTTTTTTTTAAGGTTATGTTTACAATACTATTAAGTTCCCAAATTCAAATATGTTTGTGTATGTGTAGTTGGTATGCCTAAAAATTATATTATATATATATATATATATATATAAATATATATATAGGTATGTGTATATATATATATATATAGGTTTATATATATAGGTATATATATATATATGTTTCCTGTATGTGTGCGCCTGCTTTCGTGTGTGTGTCTGTGTATTTGTGAATGCTGTAAATGACAACAAAAGAAAAACACAGTTGAAATAACATGAATATCAACAATGACTAAGTAAATACACCAAACAAGAACAAAAAAAAAAACAGATACATATCTAAGTCATCGTTGATATTGGAAATGTGTACTTTTGCATTTTTAAAAAATGTTCGGCAGCAAACGTGAAATGACAGTTATATGCAAATGTAATTATTTCCAGACTGGAATAAGCTTTCAATTTAGTGTTGCTAAATGCAATTTGTGTGAATTACTTTTACCGATATTTTAGCTAGATCTTTGCGGCAATGCAATTTTTGACACGCTCCGTAATTTCGCGGTTAAAAAAAGCTCTTCGGCTTAACACGAGTTGCAGGGAAAGCCGCGCGTGAAAACTAGGTACTCCAGCAGTCCATGCTTAAAATTATATATATATATATATATTGCTTGAATGCAACACAGTGCCCATGATATTGTAAAAGAACGTGTGAGAAGAGATACAGCGGAAATTTACTGCGAATGTGAAGTGGAAAGTAGATGGTACGTTGTCTGGGCGGCAGATGGCGCCACATGCGCATGTTGGGACGCAACTGTTTCAACAAAATGCCAAAAAAGCTTGAACAGAAAAACTCGCAATCGACGCATTACAACTTTTTTTATACGTTTTAACAATTGACTGATGTCTTTAAATTTTCGCTTTAGCTGTTGCTGAGCCACATTTCGCCTACATTGCTGCATTTTTTTTCGCAATGAATCACTCTTGGTTAATGGCAAATGCGACGCGCTCACTCTATAAAATGTGTACAAAGGAATTTCACTGCAGCTGATTATAGTATGCAGGTGTACAGTGGAATATGGAGGGAAAGGAATGAAATTGCAACACACACACGCACTAGACAACACTTGTCCTAAACTATTACAGCACACACGCGTACTCACACATACACACATACATAAATATATATATATATTTATATACTGACACATGTGCATATTTATACATTATATATGTATGCATGTGCACATTATTGAATTTTTCACGTTGTCATTATATAGCACTTCTCACCTTTAAATTTATTGATAGAAAAATAAAAACTAAACGTGTCACGCACAAGAATCAAAGCCAATTTGCATTTGTTGGGCTGTTAATGCTGGTCCGGGCTTCTGGGGGGCTGCTGCTGCTAGACGACGGGCTGCTGCTTTACAACGGAACAGGAACACACCGAACACACACACACCAACAGCAGCTGCAAAAATGCTGCTGCTTTTTGCCTTTTACCGTTTTGACCACCGCACACGTGTTACAGTGAAAAAATCGAGAAATGGGTATCGATATATTTGATTAATAAAGATGAAATGTTTTATGTGAAATTTTAGCAAATTATTAAACGCACTTTTATTATAATTCAATAAATAAAAAAGTTGATCATTTCAAAAAGATATGCATATTTTTAAACGATTCGAAATCATTACATTATTACGATATATAAAATATCGATAGATTTTAGCGCATATGCAAAAACTTTTGTAATTTGTCATTGAATATTAAATAACTAGCTAGCTTGGAGCCATTTGAAATTGTGTTATAATTTATATTCAGAAAAAAAGTAGAATATCAACAGTTTTATTCAAGTTCCACCATGGCGGCAAAAGAGGAGTGCTCCTTCTTTAACATTTGGCATTCACATTGCAGCGTATACATTTTAAACGATACTATTCCAGGGCTTTTTATTTATTTTTGATAACTGTGCAACACTGTTTTTATTTCATGAATTCAAAATGGTGCGCATTGTTTAAGACGGACAATTGGCATTTGTGTACATTTTGTTTTTTGCGCATTATAGAAGTTTATAAAACACTTTTAAATAATTTGCTTATCTATTAAAAAGAATTTCTAACTATAATGTTGGAAACCAAGAGCATTGCTGCCTTGGCCTTCAATGAGACGCCGCGCAAACGCAAACGCGAAACAAATTGCGCAGCCGCCACCCTTAAAACCGAAGGAGTAGCAGCAGCTGCTGGTGCACCTGGTGCTGTTGAAGGAAATGCGTCGTCATGCTTCACTAACGCCGCATTCAGCTCGACGCCTAAAAAATTGGTAGGACGTCGTCGTTTGGTCAAAGAGAATGAGCAACCAAATCCATTTTCTGGACATCCGGGACTGGAAATTAAATCGATTGCGGATTTGGCTGCAATGCAGCAACAGCAGAAGGAGCAGCCGGGACAACTCTCACTGAATCCCTTTGAGGTAGTACGTCAGCCTTCGAAAAAGAAGAAGCGCGCGCATGCTTGCTTCGAAAATCCAGGCTTAAATCTGGAGCTGCCGGAACGTCAATTTAATCCTTATGAGGCAAGTGGTAGAGCTTTTAAACAGACTTATGTACCACGTAAACTTATTAAACTCTATTTAAGGTCGTACGCTCTACTGCCACTCCCACCAAGTGCTTTGTAAACGAGGCTTTGAATTTGCGAGGCAACGATACTCCCGCCTCGCTGAATCCTTTTGAAATTCACCGCCGCAGTGATATCTCCAATGCAGCTTGCAACCCAACGGGCGTAGAGAATCTGGCATTGGCCGAGGAGCCATTACCCACCAGCTTAAAGATTGGCTTGCCATTTACACCGAGACTCAACTGTCGTATCGATTTCCATGGCTTATCGCTGGCTCAGTTAACGCCCAGCAAGCTGCTCGCTGAGAAGTTAGTCTTCTCGCCAGTTCCAAAGCAATTGGAGGCGCCAGCTAAACGTTCGCTTGGCTCCATCAGCGAGGAGAGCAGCAGCATGGACATTGGCAAGGAACTGGACCGCTACCAACTGGAGCTAGAGAATAGCATCAATGAGGCAAAGTTACGCAAAAATGGACTGGTGCTTGAGACGGAGCAGACAGAGCTGGAACTAGTTTCCAGAGTCGAACAGGGAGCCGAGGAGCGACGCTTTGTCTGCACCACACGCAAGCAAACCTTAACAGAGATACTGGAAGCAAATGAGGAGGAGCGGGAGACGGAGCAGCAGACGGAGAAGGAGGAGCTGCCACAGCTGGCAGTTGAAGATGTAGCTTATGCTTCTGAAGATTCAGACGAGGAACAGGAGCCGGAGGCCGATGCTGTTGTTGATTTTAAGCCCCCTTCCCGTTTTGTGCGCTCCTATCGACCAGCTGGAACTGCTGCAACTATAGCTGGAAGCAAGGAGTCACTACACTCTATAACATCGTCCAAATCTGCCAAGTCCTTAGAGCTGGACGCTAACAATATACGGAAATCCATAAGGAAGCCCAAACTGCAGGCAGAACAGCGTGAACAACAGCCGGAAAAACAGGCACAACTGGATGGCGATGATGTGGCTTATGCATCCGAATCGGAGCCAGAGGAGGAAGAGCAGGCTGAACAGAATTTTAAGGCTCCTGCACGCTTTGTGCGCGCCTATCGGCCAGCAGGTGCAGGTGCAGGTGCAGCAGCTTCTGCAAATGTGGCGGGCAGCAAGGAGTCCTTGCACTCCATTGCTTCCGGAAAATCTGCCAAGTCTGAGGAGCTGCATGCTGCGCACGGCGTTCGAAATATGATAAGGAAATCCATTAGAAAGCTAATACCCAAGCCGCAGGCGGAGCAGGAATTGGATTCATTGGAGAAACCTCATCATAATATCTTAACCAGCATACGCCACAGTCTGCGCCGGCGGCCACATAAGCCGCAGACGGAGTCCCAACCGCCAAGTTGCAACCCATTGGACATTTCCATTGTGGACAGCAGTGAGCGAACCATGAAGTTACGTTCCACAATTCCACAAACCGAGTACATGACCATTGATCAGCTAACTAATGAAAAGAAGCATACACTGCGTAATAGTATCAGACGTTCCACACGGGACGTTCTCCGACATGTGTTCCACAAGAGTCACGATGCCTATGCGACGGCCAAGTGAGTAGGCGAAGGAGAACGAGTGCAGTGAGAGAGGGACAGAGAGTGACCGATTAGACCGATCCACTATACTTACGCAATGGCCAAGGCAGAGGGTTCCACACAAACATACATGCATACCTACTTAGAATGAGTGAGAGAGGGACAGACAGAGGTTGCACTCTCATACATACATACATAACAAGTTCTACAAGTTCTTTAGCATCCAAAGATTGTCTACAACGTTTTTTTTTTCTTTTCTAGTATTAAGTTTTAATTGAAGCGACATTTTTTAATGACTTCTCAAGTATTTGCTATTTCTTATTCCCATAAGTCATAGATATTAGGCAGATATATAGTCTCACACTCGCAGATCCATGAGTGCACTTTTTCGATATCTGAAGCATAAGCTGAAACAACTTGCAAACATCTAACTGTACTTAAACCTAGATATAACACTAATGTTATTCTGAGATTTGCATAATGTGAGCTATAAACTATTGTTGATTGAGGTTATCTTTTAAAAGTTTTGAAATGCCATTTTTAATGTTTTGTATGTTCAAGCAGCGTGTGTTTATTTGATTTAAATTTGATCGAGATTATTTAAATATAATGTATAGAAATAAATATGTTATGGAATTTTCTTTGACAAATTCTTAAATACAATTTTCTTAACATATCTGAGCACGTACCGCTCCTTATTTTGATATATATTTGCAATTTATATAAGCAATTTTTTATTGATAACATTTTTACAAATCTTGTTCCAGTTTTTTTGGGTAAACCAATCTTTTTAGATGTTAATTCTACTTTCAATTTAAATGCACGTTTTTTTCTTATAATACATTTAAGACTTGTTTTTTAAATATATATATTTATATATTGCACAATAATCGAATGCGATCTTTATTTAATAATTGTGAGGTTATGTTCCTATATAACTAGTATTACCTTCTAGTTAGAGCAAACATGTGCTAAAAAAAACGTTCTATTTGTTTCCCAGGAGTTTTAGTTTATCAATAATTTCTGTGGTACACGGCTTATACTATTATCAAATTATAGAAGTTATTAACAAAATGAACGAAACTATCCTGCTAACATTAATGGACTTTCAAATGTTATTTCGTTATTGGTCCTCATTCGCCAAATCCTTCAAACTTCATTGACTTGCTAATCATATGAGCTACATAATTGCAACTAATTGGACGTCCTTTCAACAGGTCTCCTTCCCAACTCTTGAAAGAAATAACAAATGAAGTTGCTGAATATGAGCTTCTCCTAGCGTAAGACAATGGAAGCGTTCTTCCACTCTATGACATTTTTCTCTTAAGCGCCATCTCCTAAGGAAAGGATCCCCCTTAAACGATCCCCCGGAAACACTAAAAAGATCTCATACAACTAAGTTCCTTAAGCATTTCTTAACCTTCTTCCAAATTTAAGGAAGCTTTAGGAGGGAATATCTTCTTGGAACTTATTTTTCTCGCTTCAAAGGCATCCCTCTCCATGAAGAAGGGCTCCTTAAACATTTCCTATCCTAATTTGTAATATAAGGCTATGGAAGTGCGTCCCCTAAACGAACTCCTCTATCTCGAGAGCTGCTGTGGCAGAGATCCTCAACTAACTAATTGGAGTTCTTCCTGCTCCCCACTCCAGCCTAATCATATATCGTTTTGAGGTCCTTTTAACAAGCTGGGGATTGAATGCTGATCTACTTGTACACAGTCTGCAGCAGAGGCCTTCTTCGTTGCTCGGGCGGCTTGTAGGCGTGCTGGTAGACGCTGGCAAGCCTCCAGTGCTCCGGGTAGCCGCCTTGTCCAGCGCCGCCGCCTTGACTGCGAAACGGAGGCACCAGCGTATCAATATCATAGTTCTTTTTCGCATAGGGCTGTCGGGGGCGTGGCACGACCAGAACACGTCCAGCTGCTCCCGAGGCAGCAGCACAGCCCGACGGGATGCCCACGAAATCGCCAGAAGCATTTAGCTTGGGCATGCCGGCACGAAAGGCCGCTTTGCTCGACAGACAGTGGCCATGAGCCGAGGGACAGCATCTGGGCGCCGGCGCCACTTTGTGGCACAGACGACGTGTCGGCCGACGCGCCGGCTGATCCCGCCTGCAAGCCGGACCGGCGATCTGTGGACAGCCCGTATGGCAATCGCTGTTGTCCGGCCCGAGATACTTTTCGCGCAGCGCTTGATAGGCTTTGTCGCCCAGCATGGGCGAGGACTGGTACTGCTTGGCTAGACGGTTCGTTGGTAGTCCGAAGCTAACGCCGCCAGAGTGTCCGCTGGAGTCGAGTAGGTTTGGAACTCGGCGACAGTGCGAAGCGCTGGACTCACGCGAGACGCTGCGCGCACGAGCTGGCCGTGCATAGTCGCAGCCGCAGCTCTCCTCCCGTGCGATTGCGCGGCCGGCAAAGTCGGACTTACGCCGAAGTATGTCCTTGTCAAAGAAGTCCGGTTCACCCATGGTGCTCGTAAATACACCCGCAGAGCGACCCAGCTCCATGTTGGACTGCTCATCTCTAGGCGTTTTAACGCACGTAAACACAGCCGGTCCGGCGGAATCGTTGGAGCCATCTATATGCCGTGCCAGGCGTGGCTCGTCCGCCGGATTCGCTGGCTTAAAGTCCCAGCCAATGGCCAGGTCCATGGCGCCCATTTTTTTCGATGGCGCCGAGCCAACTCCACGAAATGGATCTCCGTTCAAGGCTCTGGGTAGAACGCCACCTGTCTTCGGTCGATAGACTTTCATCTTGGTGCAGTGCGTCGGTCCGGCATTGTGGGTCTTCACACCAACGCCCGTTGCAATGGGATCGATGTCCAGGGCTAGGCCGCCATGACCTCCGCTAATCTGTGCCTTGCGAAACGCCAAGTCTGCGACGCAGTCGGGCAACGGCTGATGATCGAGATTATCCTGGTGCATTCGCTTGGCCAGCTCGAAGTTCGCATAGGCTGGCACCACGGGCGACGGACAGCGTTCATTGGGCTTCTCGGTAATCGAGTGCAATGGCATTTTACGGCTCAAGTCTGTTTCCGGTAGAGCGGGAGTGAAAGCAGTCACTGGTCTGCTTGAGATTAGATCCTTGCCGGGCGAGAAGTCCAACTCGGACGGACTTAGATTCGAGCTCTGGTTCAGCTGACCCGCGTATTTGGCCTGGGCGGCAGCTAGAGCCGGAAATTGTCTGCTTGCCTCCTTCGGTCCGGCGCGATCAAATCTGTCCGACTCTTCGTCCAAATAGAGACGACTTAAGGGTAGTTCCCGTTCAAGCACATTTGGCGGCTTGAGCTTCGCGTCCAGCAGCTGCTGGTGTGAGGGCAAACGATATTCCGGTTCGGTGAGATCTCCGGGCGTATAGCTAAGATCCGGCAGCTTGTAGTTCGCGCTGCTGTTGGCAATGGCTGCTTGCGACATTATTGAATTATAGATTCTAGTCCGATTTCTAGTCTCAATCGATATCAATCAACTGATACTTTTGATGCCAATGCAGATGAGAATGATTGATGATGATTGATGAAGGATTATTGGATTACCAATGTGGATGGATGATGAGGATGAATGGAAGAAATGAGATTGAAGATGATTGATGAATTATTGATTGATTGATAAGGAACTGACGATGATTGAACACTCGGCAATGGACGCGACTTAGAAATGGTATGGGAACTGATTGATGATGCAGTGATTGATGACTGATTGACTCTATTGATAATGTTGATTTGTTTATTTTAAAGGTAGACCTATAATTGATGGCGGTTGATTGATGGCAATTGAAGATGATTGAAGACTTGAGACGGATGAAAAAATCAAATTAAGATCAATGATTGATGGAAGATTGTTCATGATTCATGTTAATTGATGGTTGATTGGCCGATTGAGGACTATTTATGGATATCATTGATAGTTATTGACAATGATTGAAGTATGACTGTGTGCCATGTGCGACGTAATGTGTACTAAGTGCTTATCTATTGAAGGCGCTGATTGACTAATTGAAGGATTGACTAGTTGAGAGGCTGGTAGCTGCCTGATTGATCGATTAATAAATGGAATAGGCTAAAGGAATGGGATTGCCTGACTGATTGATTGGCCGATTGGCCGATTGACTGACGAGCATGAATTGAAAATAGAAGCTTAAAAAATTTATTAAAAGATCACGTCAAAATTTGTATGTCAACCAGTGCATTAGGTAGAGGAAGAGGGATTACTTGGCTTTTGTCTTTGATGATTTGGCCAATTTGGTGGTCGACCTGGCTGTCGATTTGGTTTGACTTGAAGTTGCAGCGAGGTTCTTGGCAGGCTCTTTGGTAGGCTCTTTGGTAGGCTCCTTGGCAGGCTCTTTGGCAGGCTCCTTGGCAGGATCCTTGATAGCCTCTTTGGAAACTTTGTTCGCCTTCAAGTCCTCCCCGTGGGCACCATGTCGACGATTGTATTCGAAGGCAGTGACTGGACGCTTCTTTAGTTTCTTTCGATACCTGGACGAGGCGTCGCCAATGCGTGGAATCAGCTTTTCAGTGGGCTAGGGACGTGGGTGTGGGTGCTCGTTGCAAATGTGATCTGATTGACAGCGATTGATGTAGCCTAACTCACCTTTGGCTGGCACTTGACGCGCTGACACTTCAAGTGCAGCTTGTTGATTTCAAGCATTTGATGCAGACCCTGACACTTGGTCTGGCATTCTGGTTTCTGCCAAAACGGATCTTCCTTCAGGCCCAATGTCTCACGGTAGCCGCACTGATGCTTAAGCGCTCGCTGGCAGTTGCACAGATTCCTCGGATATTTCCAATACTTATACCTGTTACTCAGGCAATTATTGTAGTGCGTCGCAAAGCTGCGCGTAATGCGCAAAGGCAAATGATATGTGCCGCGATACTGACCCAAGAAATTGCCGTCCCTGCAAGGATGAGAGACGAGAGATGAGTTGAGCACGTCTTCTACAGTCTTTCTCTGGCTAATTTTGTGTTTAACCTTACCGAGCTGCTGTGGGCAGCAGATGTCCGTCGATCCCTGCGAGTGGCTTCGAGTTCCCTTTCAGAATGCGTGGCAGAGGTGGAGAAAAGCGTGGATATTCCCAATTGCTGACGCTCTTTGCTTGAAAGCCACGCTCATACTACATGAGCGGCAGCAGTGACGATAGGCGATAGACGATAGAAAAGAAGATTCAATAATGGGAAATCGATTTGATTAATTGGTATTATAGAGAGTGAGAAAGAGAGAGAGAGTATGATAGGGAAAGAAATATAGAGTGAGGAGTAAATGAGAGACAGAGAGAGAGAGAGAGAGAGAGCTGTCGATATCAAGATAGAGATTGATAAAGAGGGACCGAGAGATAGAGAGAGAGAAAGAACCATGCAAGGAGGCAAGTTAAAAGGAAGACTTGGAGAACTAAGCAGGAAAGGAGAGATAGAATATAATAGACTAGCAGACTGGAGAAGAGAGAAAGAGATAAAGAGAGACATTTATCAGTTGAGCTCTCGAGTCAATTCCTAAACCAAGTCATCGGCCAATTTATTCTAGACTTTAAAAAATATGGTATACTTTTCCGAAAAGCTACGCCTTCAATATGCTTAGTATTTAAGGACGTACGCCTAATGTCAGGTCTCTGGCTTCAGTAGAGCTGACATAGTGTCTGACTTCATGCGACACCCTCCTTTTTTCTTACGAAGCAGCGAGGTATTGGGAGCGACAGAGATGGAGAGCTGTTGCAGTTGGCTTTAAGCCAGTTGAACCTGTCAGCCACCTGTTTCAATTGCCAACTCCTAAAGCTGTTATTTATGGCCGCTGAGCAAACCAATTGATAAAAAGCCAAAGACCGGACTGAGCCGCACCCTCCCTTCCCTTTAACCTAGCGATCCCACCCTAGTGGGCGTGGCCCAACCCCCGTGCAACAATTACACGGCGTAATCGTAATCTCCGTGTTGCAACATGTGTAAAAAAGGCATTTCGGCTAATGCCACTTAATGCGTTGTTTGCGCTTCTTGTTTCTGTTTCTGTTTGTGTTTGCTTTTTTAAACAGACGGCAAACGGAAACAATAAAAAAAGGTTCGGGTATGCCCAGAGTAGATGACTAGACGATACCCCTTAGTGGGTAACTCGTTACAGCTATAGAAAGAGGAATGCAAGAGCTGAGCATTACAAATACTCTGCTCAAGTGAAGTCCTCGGACTAAATATTATTGATGATAAATGTCTATCAGTCACTTGAATTGCAGCTACCCCATATGGTGGCCAGTTGCCAGGGTATCAAGAGACAGCAAAAGTACAAACCGGAACTGGCAATTGCTGTTCGAGTCAGAGCTAAGACCTCAGGCTCTTCCGTGAGCCATGGATCAGAGTTGCTGGCGCAATCATTTATCAGGTCGGCTATTTCGCTCTCTCTCTCTCTCGCTGTATTTTTCTTCCACTGAGCAGCAGCTCCAAGGATCAAGTGCGCCAGTTGCGGGAGCAGCCATCCAGCTTCCCACGCAAGTTTTATTTCAATCAAGACGAGGTGGCAAATGCAAATTGCGAATGGTAATACAATACACAAGGCCACGCCCAGCAGCTGCAGCCGCAGCCGCAGCACGTGGCAAGCTGTCAACACTTGATGACGGAATGCGGCAGGGGGTGAGAGAGGCCTTGATTGAGTGCGTGCGAACCAAAGGGAGATCTACAAAGGACCTGCACAGAGGTCGCTCTTGTTGTGAGGCGTTGCTATTGTAATTAAATTTACACGGCAATTACACAACACTGGCGCTTCGAGATGGACGCAGGCACCGTTCTCATAGTCGTTAGCGTTGGGGTGGAGGTTATCGATAACAGGGACTAGAGCACAGCGTAAAATACAAATTGATTTTAAACTCAATTAGCAACAATAGGACGAGAGCCCCGATAAAAGACCTCAAGAGCTTAGCTCATATAGACAGATAACGGGACAATTGAAGCCCACCCTTTTTAACGAAGCAGCAGGATACCCTTAGCGATGATTTTTATGTGCAGCCCTCTGGGGTGCAATTTATCACATGCTGGATTAGACAGTCAAAAAGCTAGCAAGCTGCACGTGCAACGTCTGGTGTTTGTGTGGTTCAAACACCACCCACACATACACGTACGAGGCGTGGCTGACGTAGCAGTAGGGGAAATGAAGAGTGTCTAGTGGGCTACAGTTAAGCTAATTTCACGCACTGCATTCAGCAGCAGCAGAAGTAGACGTAGCAGTAGCATCAATACCAGATTCTCAGTGCACAGTTTTCTCTACCATTTCCACATTTTTCCAATCAATTTTGCCCAGCAGCTCGCCCAAAACAGCTGTCCATATGTAATTGCAATTGAAATGCCATTAAATACAATTCCCCACAAGAGGGCGCTGCAGATGCAAAAAAAAAAGTCCACTCACACACATGCATATGTATTTGCACGCACATTAATAAAAATACTTGACACTCGGCTTGACCGTCGTACGCAAAAATTCCGTTAGACTATTTTGAGCGCGTCTTCTTAGTGCACGGCACAAAAACAAAAATGTTGTAATACAAAATGGAAAAATAACTATAAACAAGTTGCATGGCAATCGGTAATGGTAACCAAGTAAATAAAACTGTCGCTATTTTGGCATAGCTGTCGGCTGCCAGGAAGAAAGGAGGGGAAAATATGCAAAAGCTGCGTACGAGTCCCACACACATACACATGCAAATACATGCATTAAGTTACAGCACAGTTACAGCTCAGCTGTTAGCCGACAAAGGCGTCGAAAACGTTTAAGCTAATATAACTGAAGTTCAGGCTAAATTTCATTTCAGAAAATTTTTCGTTGTTTCACTATCTCATTCACAACTGTTTAGCGTAGCCACACGACATATCGGAAACTCAAACATACTCGAAATACTTCCAGAATTCACGCCCATATCCTGCCGACATTTATTACAATTTGTTGAACTTTGTCGCCAGTTTCGCTTATGCTCTCCGTTTTTAGAGCCTGATACTTGGGTAGGGACAAGCTCTATTGGTATTTTGATGGCTGTGCAGCCTAAACATAGCCCAGATTGAGGACACGCTCACCCGTTGCCATGTCTATGTCTATGTTGTTATTGTTGACGTTGTCGGCCTTGTGGGACACACAAGACATAAAGCTAGCTATATAGGACTGGAGTAAAACCTCATAAAGTATGATAGTATACAAAAATGCACGGCTACAGCGAGTGGCAGATGGTTTACGGAACGTAGACTAGTCGCTCACAATAGCTACGTGCTACGTGCCTAATTATATTTGAATGTGTTAAGTATCTAACGAGGCTTACAGGGTATTGACTAGTCGTACACACCAGCGTCGCCCTTACTGACGCCATTTTATGTTATCGCGCCTAGTACCAAAGAAAAGCACAGATCTTAGATAGGTGACAACGCGAGTGCAGCAAAAATGAGGTTAGGTTCGGCTGACTACTGCCAACGCTGGCTCACCTGCATCGCACTGAAATTGAACGCCATTTCCTCTTCCTTCTCCTTTTATTTCGGCTTATGAATTTCGAATTTCGAATGCGAACGGAAAGTGGGAAGTAAAATTATGAATCTTCAATGGGACGATTGTGAACTGATGTTAAACTGGAATGTATATATGTTTTTATAGTTATTTGAAATAATGTGTTGAGCAAAACATATACAAACACAGACACAAACAAAAACACAAACACAGACAGATACAGAGGCAGAGACAGAGGCACACACACACAGGCAACACACACTATGATTGACATGTTTGCTTGTGGGGGACTTTATAGATTTTTATAGATTTTTGGGGGCGTGGCTTGCGCTGCGCACAGCAGCCAAGGCAGAGATAGCGAAGCATAGCGAGGCAGAGCGAGAGCGAGAGAGAGAGAGAGAGAGAGAAGGTGGGGAGTTTGGCTTGGATTGGGGCTTGGCGCAGCTGGCGTGTTGCGCGCAGACAACAAAGCAAATGAAAAACTTGACAACGCCAGCTGAGCCACGCAACTTTGCAAAACTGACACATGATTGGCCCTGAGATACCCTGTAAATGATAGACTTTGAACTTTAGCACGAGCTAATTTATATTATAGGCTTAAAATCTTGATACCCTGTAATAATAACTAAAGCAAAGTATATTATTTATTAAAAGAAAAGAACAAATGGAACAAGTGAGAAAAATGAAGAGGGATAGATCATAGCTAGATAGAAATATATATATATATATATCGAGAGAGAGAGAGAGCGCGAGTGGAAGAGAGAAAACCAGAATGTGAGAGAAGCATGGAGAAGAAAGATAGAGAGATATTTGAAGAGAGAAACAGGGAGACAGAGACAGAGAGAGAGAGGGAATAAAGAAAGTTAGGGATGAAGACGGAGGTAGGGATAGAGGAGTTTAGTGAAGGGTGGAAAAAGGAATGGGAGATAGGAAGGAAAAGGAGAATATGGAAAACAGGAAGGGAGGTATGGAACTCAGATGATAGAGAGACAGAGGGAGATGCATATATAGAGAAGGAAAGAGAGGAAAGAGATATGCAAAGAGACAGAAAGAGAGAGAAATATAAATAGATAGATATGTAGAGATGAGAGATCAAGAGATAAAGACAGAGGGAGCGAGATAGATGTATAGAAAGAGAATGAAAGAAAGATGGGCACATAGAAAGTGAGAAAAGAGAGAGAGAGAAAGGCGGAGAGGCAAGTTTCCTCTTTGTCCCCTTGCTGGAAATAAGAGAATATGAATATGAAAGCAATGGAGAAAGAGGAATATGATGAGTGAGATGTGAGCCAAGTACATCTAGATAACAAAAGGTTTTTCCCCCATTTCGTCGTTGCCCCAGAAGTAAACTCAGGTGAATTCTGTACAATATATACATATATATAGATATATATATAGATATAGATAAATTTATTGCTGGACTTGGATATAGAAGCAAATATCACGTATTATATATATAGCTATACTCTATGAAAAAAAACACGAATTTACACATTGCCTAAGATCGAGTTGATTCGATGGACTAGAATAGATATATATATATAGAGTTAGATATATATAGACTTAAGTATACATATATGTCGGAGCTAAGTCTAGTTGTAGGAGTAGGACGAGGTGGCGGAGGTGGTGGTGGAGGTGGAGGTGGGGGAGTAGGTGGAGCTGTTGTTGAGAAACATGGCGCCTGGCAACTGGCTGCAGCTGGAGGCGTTGGCGGTATCTCAGGGCGTCTCGAGAACATGATTCAGATACGCTATGTAGCAGATGGCCAGCTTGAGGATCTCAATCTTCGACAGCTTCTTGTCCGGCGGCAGCGTTGGCAACAGCTTGCGTAGCTCCGCAAAGGACACGTTGAAGGCCTCGACGCGTATCCTTTCGCGTGTCGCATGCGCCGTTCGATATTTGAGTGTGGCTCGACGTCGGCGACGTCGCTCCTCCCTGGACAGCCCCACAAGCTCGGAGGGATCCAGATGGGTGATGGGCGTGGTGCGGCGTCGTGGCGCCGGCGTTGGCGGCGGCCCGGGCAGCGCTGGCTGTGCCGCCGTCTCGCACGCAATCCGCGCCTGATATCGCTGATCGATGTCCAGCGTCGTGCTCGCCGCATAGTCCTCGCTAGCGGCATGACCATGTCCATGGCCATTCGATATGTTCGCATTGTTGTTGCCCGCTGCCAAATCGTCATCCTGATCCATATAGTAGCGACTCAGTGAGATGCTTTGCGGCGGCCCCGGTGCCAGGTGTGCCATATCGTAAACCATATTTAGAAGATGAACCTGATCCTGATCCCGATGCTGCCTCTGCTGCCTCTGCTGCCTCTGCTGCTGCTGCGCCTGGGCTGACCACTGTTCAAAATCAAGAAAAAGTTCACAAATGGTCAATTGTTAGTTTAGGTTCGGATGTAATGGAGAAGAGTGCCTGAAAACATAATTATGCGAACTATTCCTTAATTTATATAACTGACCAGAGTCTACAAACCAGATCTATTATTTCTAGCTCTTATTTTTATTATACCCTGAACCCATTGAAAGTGACAATTCTGGCTATATTGCTCTACTATTATATATACCAAGGAGCAAGCGCTCCAATGTATGCGAAGTAACTTGAACTTTGAAGATCATTGACAGAGATATTCACGATATCATATCAAATCTGATGCCTTCAGCTCTAACTCAAAGAAACCAAGTCATATAAAGAGGTATACCAAAATTAAGTTATTTTCCAGTAATGTGTACCCAATGAGAGAATGCATACAAAATCTGATCTTTCTAGCTTTTTTAGATCCTGAGTTGTGCTTAAAAACTGCAAATGAAAAATCGATTTTTATCGATGCTTACCAAATGGCAGGCAATAGCAATAAAATGTCAAATCTCCATATAAAATATTTAGATGGAATGGTTTTAGTTATCGATTTAACAGTTAAGGTTTTTCAAAAACTTACTGAGCTAGTAATCGATAAGTTAATCGATTTCAATTGCAGCGAGTAGCAATTCCCGGATCAGGGATATAGATAAATAGAAACGACAGCGCCAACATGTATATATATATATGTATATATATGTATATATATATATATATATATATATATATAAATATTTGTTGGCGCAGACTTAATTTCTGCTTGATTAAGGATGTTTGCCCGCCATGCCCACGCCCATGCCCACGCTCACGCCCACGCCCAGGTCGTACATAACACTTGCATTATTTATAGAATTGTGCTGTGGGCATCATAAGGGTATGTGTATGTGTGTCAGTTAGCCAACCCCTTTGGGGAACCCTTTTTGGTCACGTGTCCTGTTTGCGTTTGCTATTATATTATATTTATTATGATTATTATTGTGTTTACTTATTATTATTATTGTTGCTCTTCGGGCTTTTATTTGCGACATATTTTCACACCTACACAAATAACGGAACAATTGTCACGTTTGCATTTATTGTGGCCCGCGGGAGTTGAGACGATGTTGGAACCCTTTTTGATTTTGCGGTTTAATGCGCTTTGCAAAATCTGAGAGTTTGTTAAGGGCTGTGATCTGTGGCGGAAACTATACTCCAGAGATCAAACACACTCACTTTAAAGTAATATTTAACTAAAACAAAAAAAACTTCGACACAAATTTGTAGTTCAACAACTTTTACTTACAAGAATCACAATCAGACACAAGATTTGATTTGTGTATTATTTTTATTTTTTAACTGATGTCCTGCGCCCGCAAAGCTTTCGAAACGAACTGAGTTGCTGTGCGGATGCTGCAGCATCCTTTATAGGCAGCTGCTATGTGAATCAAGCAACCCCCGTTCGCATGGCAAGGTAACAGCCAATGGGAAGCGCTGCATACAGAGCCAAGGGCCAATCAGCGTAACAAAATGGCGGCGATTATGCTAATCATATAACTGTAACGCCCCACCATTAAAATGCTGCTCAAAAGAGTATAAAAGGAATAGTATAATAGTATAAGAGCAAACGACGTTTGGAAAATATAACATTATAACAGTTTTTAGGTAAAAAGGTTGATAGCTTAAGAGAAATTCATAAAACATGAAATAACTAACTAACTAATATTTATTTTTGTACAGAAAACAAATTTCGGTCAAGTTTATCCAAGTTGATCCAATTTATAATTTTTTCAAAAATTAAAAACTGTTACAGATAGCTTGTAGGTGTTCATATAACGTCTAGCGATAGGCTTAGATTGTGTCAATGGACTTTGACTTGCTTACAACACTAGTGCCCATCTAACTATCGATAGCTTCAACTGTCACTTGGAATTCTATTTGTGTGAATGGCAATATCGCGCTGCAGCCCTGGCTGGCTTTCATAACCAAGCAACTGCTGATTTCGTTTATATATTTGTAAATTAAAATATTTGTTAAATAAAATGAACACATTGCGTCTATTGAGGCCACTTCAGCTCAGCCTTAAGATCGAGCGCAACTATGGTAAACATAACAAAAAGTTCCTGTACAAAGATGGCAAGAAATACGAGAATATTTTTTACTATCCCAGGTAAGTAGAAAATCCCGGCCCGTTGAAAAGAATTCTTAAAATTAAATAATTACCTTTGTATAGAACTCCCGACCATCAGGATCCGCCAATTGAACCGGCCAAGTTGTTTCGCGTGCAGCGCATCAAGCCCGTTAAAGGCAATCCCTACTGGGAGAAGCGTTTGCTTAAAGAATTGGGCTTGGATGGAAAACAAAGCGATTTTACCGTGGTTAAAAATATACCCGAAAACAATGCCCGCTTATGGAAGATTAAGCATTTGATTAAAGTGTCCCCAGTGACATTCCCCTACGGGGAACCAACCGCACAGGACATCAAGCACACGATACTCAAGGAGAACGGCGAATGCCTGGTGACTAAACAAATCGGACCCGTGGAACAGCGTTGCAAAGCACGCCAGGAATATGATCAACAGCCCAAGCGATTGGACACGGATCTTCTGCGAAAGGATGCGCGGCTCAAGTGGCTCAATCCCTGGTAGCAATAGTTCCATTCAATTGTAATATGTAAAAGAGGAAAGTTATTAAACATGTGAGAAATAAGTAAGTGCAAAGCCGTCTATCATTGCAAGCACCTCAGATACCAGGCGAGAAAGCCCACATGGATCTCGAGTTGTGCCATAGAAACCAAGTCTACAGAGTAGTCTACAGCATCCAAGCTAAGAAATGTATCCAAGCTCTGAATAGCTAAACTAAAATAAGATGAAAGATAATCCCAATTGTTGCAAGCTCTCGAGGTATATCAATGACAAAACAAAGTTCGAATCGTTATTCATAATGGGATATCCTAGCTCATACTTCTCGGCCTATTTGTGAGTTTTTAAGGATTCCATCCTTGTTTATTATATTTATTTATATATTTATACAAAATTAAATAAGTACAAAAAATGAACACAGACTTTCAAGTCTTTTGATCATAGACAACAATGGCAACCTTCTTCTCGATGGTCTTGCAACCGGATGTGACAAACATGCTATGCTTCGGATCGTAGGTAACGGCGTTGTTAACTACCAATTGAATATCATTTTTTTTTGGGTTATATGCATAACGAGCAAACTCGGCCTCCACACACTGAATGATGTGGGTCTTCTCGAGGGCCAAGAAGGGAACATAATGATCGATGACATGCGCCTCGATCATGTTCGTCTTCTTTAAGCCACCCTCCATATTGTAGGCAGACAGCTCTAGCATCTTCTCGAAATCAAAGAGTTTCGTATCCTCGCGACGTTTGCCACTCTTCATGAGTCGGACCAAGTGATCGGAGATTTCTATGCCCGCTGTATTCGAAAGAAATATAAAGATGGCTTTCGCATAATCAGCGTCACCCATGTTGGCTGCATAGTCGATGAACGATGTGAGCGTGTCGAATACACCAGTCGGCATCTTGTCCACCTCGTCGAATATGAAGAGTGAACGCGGGCATTCCTTGATGCTTTCCCGCACCTCCCTGTTGATGCGCTCCTTGTACTCATGCAGGCGACCCGGGTGCGCAAAATCAGCTCGGCCCAAATATTTGTGCACATATTTGCTCTTTGGGCCTTCCAGATAAAGAGCCTGTGCTATCTGATCCGCCACAAAGCTTTTCCCCGTGCCCGGTGTTCCATGGAAACTCATGACAAGCGGCTTTCGACTCGTCGATTGTAAATGGGCTGTGAGTGCCGAAACAACATATTGCTGCACAATATGCTGGCCAAAGAGCGTCCTGGACAACGACTGTTTTAGTTCTGAAAATCTATTTGTTATATACATATATAAAACTCTACTGCACTTGAAATCTACGTACTTTCTATATCACCCGGCACACTACGTTCGTCGCAGCACTCAGCAAATTTACAATAGAAAACCTTGCTTGCCCCTAAAAAGCCGGTAACTATTGCAGTGCCTGCAATTGCTGATAATGGCTCTATGCAATTAACTCTTCTAGTTCCAGTTATTGCCATAATTAGCAATATATATATACATTTTGAAATTGTATTTGTCTTTTTCGAAGACATTCTACGCTATTCTATTCTAATTTACATTAATCGGAATACGTATTGTAATTGCTCATGTTGAACTACCAAAAAATATCGATATATTTGAAGACTGCATAGAAAGAAGTAGTAAAAGGATTAATTTTTTTATCATATTATCAACTTATAACATAAAGCAGCAAATTTAACCAATTTATTTATTTTGCCGGCAATATATTTTGTCTACTCTTGAATAAGGCATCGCACTTACATGTTCCAATCGATAAGTGTAAACACAAAAATTGCGCGTTATCGTTGCAATTTGTATTGTCCCCAAATAGTAAGTTAAGATTTTCGAATAGATGCAAAAAAAAAAAAAAACACTAAATGCAGCTGCTGCTGTGGCTTGTAGCAAGAATTATTTCTATTTTATTATAATCTACACACAACTATCGATCGATACTATTATCACAATGGTTAACTATCGCACATTTGATCTAGCTCGATTATTTTATTTTCAAACTACAATTGATAAATGAAAAAAAAAGTAAACAAGCGTCGTCGTTGCAGTTTGTATTTGCATCAAATATAAATTAAACTATTTTAAAACAACTCTCCGTAGGAAAATAACGCTTTTAAAGATGATGGCGCAAAATCAGATGCTGATGGAGACCTTTCAAGGCCAGAGCCAGAATATTGAGTCAACAAAATCAGCAATCACGAAAATGTTGGTTCGCACCGAAAGATTTCAAACGCGCGTACGCAAACACATCGATGAAAATTATACAGAATTTATGCCCAACCATACATCACCAGATATCTTTTTGGAGAAATCAAGCATACTGGGCGACGAAATCAACGAGCTGCTGGCCACCGTTGGTGAGGAGGGTCTATCCGCCCTAAACGATGCCAGTGCCGAGCTAGCCAAGAGCAGCAAGGATTTACGGGAAATAATGTTAGAACTGCGTGTTAGCGAGCATATATTAAAACTGGACGATCTATTTCAGTGTGTCGAAGAGGCGAAGGCCAACAAGGATTGCCTCGTCGTGTTCGATCTGATGGGCAAGCTACGCAGCCTAATCTACAGCGAAGCGAAAGACTCTACCGATGTAGCGCCCGAAGTGGAGCGACTATTCCAATCGTTGGATTGCTATGAGTCCATTAAAGTCAAGTACCACGTGCAGGCACATTTGCTGCAGCAGAATCTGCAGAAGCGGTTCGATCGTCTTGTGCAATTGAATTGCAAAACGTTTCCCAATTCGAAATGTGTTACGTTGCTTATTAGCAAGGACGAAGCGCAGCTGCAGGACATTGTGACAGCCCTGTTCCAGGAGCGCTATAATCCAGCCAAGCTGTGCAACTTTTTGCTAGAACACTGCATCGAGCCACTGATCCAGAAACCTGTTTCGGTCGAATACAATGAAACGGCCAAGGATGGCAGTCATATACAGCTAACGCTTTCGTATTCTATCAAGGATCAGGATGCTTCGTCGCCTTTGCTGCGTCCCAGCTATAAAGATGTCTTTGACCATTTTCGCCTGCTCCTGCAGACGCTAGGCGGCATCAATAGCAACCTCAATGGCACCCAGCATGTCTTCAGCATTATCGGCGATCAGATTAAGGATCGCATGTTGCAACTGCTCGTCGAGGAGTGCTTGATTTCTGCTGTCCCGGAGACAATGGATGAATACAATAGCTCGACCCTATGCGTAGATGTTTTACAATTCGAACATCTCCTAGCGGATGCATATCTGATTAACCCAGAGGTGGATTGTGCTCTAACCGAGTTCACCAAGGAGTTCGATACATACTATCGCAATCGCCTGTCAGCTCGTGTCTTGGCCACAGCTCGTGAGATAATCCAACGTGATCTACAGGACATGATATTGGTGGCTCCGAATAACCTGTCTGCTAATGTGGCTAGTGATCCGTTTCTATTTCCTCGTTGCATGATCTCCAAGAGCGCCCAGGCAAGCATCATTCGATTTTATCTCCCAATTGAATCATACTCGATCGGGTATTTTGTGCACGCTTCATACATTTCAATGGCTGTCCGTCTGTCTTCATCTCAATCGCTCCACCAGTCGGTCAGATGCTGTCCACTATTCTCACCGTTTGTCTGACTCTTCATCAATCGATCCGTCTCTGTCGTTATGTCCGTCTTTCCAATCATCAGTCTTTGCCATGTCCGTTTGGCCTACTACCGTTCTGGCTGCTTAGTTGTCTGTCCCCATTACCCATTGGCAGCCGTTGGGGACATGGTAGTTTCGGGGTTAGGATAAACCAAGATTTCCATTTGAAATCTGCGCTGCAGACCCAAAATTCTTGTCATTCATATATAATTAAAACATGTCTCTTTCCCATGGATAGGACTTTGTGAAGTTGATGGATCGCGTGCTGCGACAGCCAACGGATAAGTCAGCAGAGTCAACGCCCGATCCATTGGCCGGAGTCGTTGCTCAGCTGCTGGAGACTTACATTGATGAGGTGCCCAAGGTGCACAAGAAACTGTTGCAGAGCATCCCTCAGCAGTCGGCGCTGTTCCACAACAATTGCCAATACCTGACCCATTGGGTGGCCCAGCATGCCAACAGCGCCATCGATAGCTATCCCTCGCTGGTCAAGATGCTTCAGTCCACGGGCAGCAAACATTTACGCGTTCAGCTCAACTACCAGCAGTCTATACTGATGGATATTATGAGCGGGTTCGGTGGGTTTTCATGCTTTTTCTTCTATTAACTATTAACTATTAATAATTATTCAACTTATACTTGGACAGAGTTTGAGAATCCGCATACTTTGGGCTCGGTGCCACTGCGATTGGTGCGCCAGTGTCTGCGCCAGTTGGAACTGCTGAAGAACGTTTGGCAGCAGGTGCTGCCGGAGAATGTCTACAACAGCAGCTTCTGTGAGCTGCTGAATGCGTTTGTCAATGAGCTGGTGCAGCGAGTGTTTACGCTGCGCGACATTTCGGCCACGATGGCCAGCGAGCTGAGCGATCTGATTGATGTGGTGCTGGAGAAGGGGCCGTTGCTGTATCAGGATAAGCATGAGGTGCTGCAGGTGCGCAACTGGCAGAAGCTGCAGCAGCTGAAGACCATGATGAATGCCTCGCTCAAGGAGTTTACGGAATTGTGGTGCGACGGCGCCGGTCCCTTGACAGCCAATTATCAGGCAAAAGAGATCAAGCATTTGATACGCGCCCTCTTCCAGGACACGGATCGACGCGCCAAGGCCATCACACAGATCGTTTAACGGAAATTGCAAATGAATACATTCTTAATTGGATTATAATTAAATTCTTTATTTTGAGACTGTAGCTTATCCCTTAACCGATCTCATCTCATCTTGTGTTTGGCCTGCAACATAAGCGGACGCAGTTGCTCCAGCAACAGGCGATGATCACGTCCATGTGTTACATTCAAAATGCGCTGCGCCTCCTGCAAATGCTGCATGGCCTGCTTGTAGTTGCGCTCATATAGCTCAATCTTGCCCAGCTTTAGCTGGAGCAGACCTAGCAACGGATTCCATTCACCATGATACTTAGCAAAGCCTGGCAACAGCTGCTGCCCATAGTCCAAAGCCTCTGTCCATTTGCCCACCTGAATCGATGCCTCGAAGGCGGCATCGAGCGTCTTAACATGCCAAACGTTCAACGGATGGAGTATGCCACGCTGCTTCGCCAGACATACTTTGCAGACGTCCAGATCTGGTGGGGAATAGATGGAGTATGCAGTCAATAGAGTGTTGTGTATATAGGGAGTATCTTTGTATAAGGTATGTAGACAGCTCCCCTAAATTAGCTGCTCACTGGCTTTGTCTAGGCAGTGTACTTACACGCCACCTCCTTCATGGAGTCCAAACTGGACTGTGTCAAGGACATCACCTCCTTGTAGTCACTGCGCAGCTGGTCCGACACAGCTGTTTCACAGCTCTCACATTTATCCAATTGTATATTAACGCTAGCATCGCAGTTACTATTTGGACAGACTGCTGCGGTCATTTCATGCATCTCCTGCGGATCGATGCACTTGCTGCACACGCAAAGGAAATAGTAATGCTCCTTCAAATCTGTCCTGCGCTGTTCGGGCGTGTTGAGCAGATCGATGTAGCTAATGTAGATCTTGGACCAATCTAGACACGGCAAATCCTCAATGGCATGCACATGCAGTTCGTTGCCCTCGAACGTGGCCACAGCATTCGGCTGGCAGCTGTGGTCTGTTATGGAGACGCCCAGGTAAATGGCTGTCGCAATCGAATTCATCTCCGCATCCAGAATATTAAAGCCGTTCGTAATTAGCTGCACGATTAAAGAGAGAAAAAATGATTAGGTATCGAGAAAAGCCTTAAGAAACTACAGGGGAGATCTGGAGAATCGAAAGGATACTCTCTTCACTATACTCAAGTGGCTCACATGCATGAGAAAGAGTGAGATAAACATGTGGTTTAGAGCAGCACAGATATATTGCTGCTGTTGCTGCGCCCTCATACTTACACGGCCATAAATGCTCATCAGTTCATTTAGATTGGGTACTAAGCTTCCAGTTCCAGTTCCACTTGCACTGTCCACCATCATATCCGTGAGCACCGCATGCAACGATTCCAAATGCTCTATGCGCTTCGCGTCATTCTTAATCTCCGCATAGTCTGCAAATCAAAAGATATTAAACTGGAGTTTACATAAAAATATAACATTTCTGTGATTTGGCACCCACGTGACATTAAGTCGCGAAATTTGCGAGATCCGTGTGCCGTGTAGTAGCCTCGTTCCAGATCTCCGCCATGTTCCAAGCGCAAGATAAGCCGGCAGAGCATCCTAGCCGCATCGGGCACAATGCGGGGCAGCGCACGCTTAAGGAATTGGCATTCGTGCTTGTGGATGGGCCAAGCCTGTTGCTGGCAACTGCGATTGCAGTAGGAGACATAACGGCAATTGGAGCACTTTAACACCTTTGTCCTGTCCGATATAAGAGCTGTATTATATTATAATTCCACTAACTAATTTCACTGCGACTCACGCTTCCAGACAATTATCGCAGCGTTCCAGTCGATATTTAGACTTAAGCACATATGCAAATGGTTTTTCAGTTAGAATACGCGTGCCGCGTTTGATGGCCAACTTTGATGAGGATTCCATTGCAAACACACCTGTAGAACTGTCAGCCAACAGCAGCAGCTCAAAAATATTGCATTCAAATTTAAAATGCTTTAGCGGCACCTATTTTCTAAATTTAGCGCACGGCACAAACAAAAACACAATTTACGCAAGCAAATGAGAAGGTCTGTTCTTAGTCGACTCATCAATACCCTGCGTTACAGACTATATGCGTTATAAGGCACTGTTCTTGTGTGTGATATGCTCGCTGTATTCTACATGTATCATTCAGGGTAATTGACACATATATATATGCATATTCATAACAAACACCATTAGTGGCATTCCCTTAAATCAATACTGTGCCTTAAAATAGCTTCAAATGGCATACATTTTACATATTATTTATGGGAATGAAAATATATTTTTTATATTAAATATGAATTTGTAGCATATATACTTAGCCCCCAATCGAATCATAGCCAAAATATTTTTTATGAGAGATGCTCGCTGGAGTGTTGTTATTGATGCGCTACTCTCTGGTAATCGTCGTGAGTGTGTTGTTCACAACATTCGTGACGTCACAGCTGTCGCTTTTTATGATTTCCCTACGAACTTTCGTCCTCTGGCAACACTATTCGCAGCATATGTGACGACATGCGCTGTGAATGTAAATAAACAATCTGCATAGCATACAAAATATTCATTCGACAACAATTTTTCTTTCTTTTTTATTTTGTTTTTTGTGTTTTTAGCAAACTTATAGCTTAGATACCATGTACTAATTATTTGTAACACATGCGGTATGCTTCAGGCTCTTTATAAGTGGAAATCATTCACAATAAAAAAAAGGAAATTACGATCTTCACTCCTGTGCTTGCCGTTCTAGGCAGCTTCGCCTTTTCACACACATACATACGTCGCACACACGCACACATCGTCGTCGTTTTCATCTTGTTTTAGTTGTTCTGTGGCTTTGACCATTCAACACTTAAGATCAAATGATCGTAGCCATGACCATTTAGGATTTCTATGGCCGCTGCTGCATCCTTGCGCTGTTTGAAGTGAACGTAGGCGAAACCTTTGCAGAGACCGGTATTCTTATCGCGGGCCAGGTACATCTTGCTCTGTGGGCCGATCTTCTTGACCAGCTCTTCGAGATCCGCCTCTGTCATTGATTCGGACAAATTGGAAATGCGTATGGCGGCCGTATCGTCACGTCCACGCATACCCATACCACCCTTTTGGCTATCCTTGAGGAATGGTGGCACATATTTTCCAGACTTGGGTGCATCCACAGCTGCGGATGCAGCAGCTGCTGCCTTTTTCTCCATAAGATTAGTATCCATGGCGGTACCTTTGTATGGACAGTTGACGGACCAATGTTCGCCATTGCAAATACGACATTTGGCAATGTTCTTGGTGGGATCGAGCAACGGATCGTTGGCCTTTTCGTCCTCCTTGGAGTTGAGGAATTGCATTATAATCTCTTCAGAGACCATTGTTGTTTGCGAATTAGGGCCGGGTTTGTCGTTCTTCGATTCACCAAATTTCGTCCAGGTGCGACGCTTGGCGACAGTTTTCGGTACGACCTGCTTGGAGATTTTGTAAGTGCGCACCACTTTCGTTTTCTTATCATCCTTATTGTATTTATATTCGGTCACATATTTATGGCCATTCTCAATCGTCTCCGTTGTTGGTGGCAGGCCTCCATAGTCGAGCTCCACCTCATCGGCCCAACTGGACTTGATTGTTTCAACGCCCGGCATCTGTAAATTTTAACATTAATATGTGTTTATATTTCTTAGTCTGCATCGTTTTGTGTTACTTTACTTTGTTTTGCTGTGCAAATGGACAACGAAAATCGAATACAAAAATTCGCCACGAGTTTGCAGATTGCGTCCGCACCACGAAAAGAGTCAGTTAGGGATGCAAGTTGATTGTCGATAGGCATTTATCGCACAACAAGCTGACTTGCAACAATTCATCGTCAAACAGCCCGATCGTGAGATAATCGAATTGTGCCGCTCATTGCGGCTAACTTCTAATTACGTGGATAAAAATGAAAAAATAATAAAGAAGAGCACAGTTGCGCTTGGGTAATATGGTAAAGAATAAGTCACTCACTGATACCAATTAATGGTAACTAAAGTAACGAATAGAATAATATCGATAGGTAGGGCAATGAATTTAAAATGACAGATTTACGATATGTGTAAGCGATAAATTGTGGGTAATCCGAAAACTTATCTCTACAACGCAGAACGCCGGTAAATGAGCGCTAAATTTGAAACTAAGCAAACTTACGATATTTGGTATTAGTAATATTAAAACAGAAATGAATTTTTGTAGTATAATCTTTATTGACAATAGAATTTAGAGCTCTTCAATGGAGTTACTCGTAGGTATAAAGCACAGTATACACACATATATGTATATGTGTCTATATATTTTTATATTATGTTTATGAATGTAAGTATTGTATATAAATATATGTTGTATAATTGTTTGTGTATCGTGTATGTATATATAATATATATATGTATATATATCTGAATATTTATGTATGCGTATTATTTAATATTTAATTGCTTAGCTTAAAGCACAGAGAATTTTGATATGAGAATATGATTGAACCACGCAATCAAAATGTAGTGTGTGGGAGAGGCGATAAAGAGCGCGGTAGATATTTTAGATATACAACAAAAAAAGTAAATATGAAGAGATACCAGGACACCTACAAATTTGAGTGTAAATTGAATTGAAGAATTATTCTTCACTAGCAGCAATATCAACAAGATAGGCGCTGAATTTGAAGAAAAAAAAATTGACTAGATAAGGAATGGGAAGCAGGAGGAAAGGGATGTGGCTAGGATTATCTAATGAAAGACATCCATAAAGGGAAAATAAGCTTGTTCCGGCTCAAGGAGATCGACAAGGAAGCAAACGGTTCCAGCGACTCCCTCGTATAGGCTGTGCGGTCGATCAGGAACGCGCGCACGTTGCTTAAACTCAGAATTGGTTAAGAGTTCCATAAATTTGTGAGCACGATACAGGTACTTCATTTCATTGGTCAAGCGAAAGAGGAGAAGGAAGACGTAACCATTGCCGGCTACGCCGTGGCAAATGCCCGGCCCCTTGCGCAAAAATCCCTTCTTCCACACCAAATCCGCGGCGCGACGCAGCGACATAATGTATTTGTCCTCCTTAAAGATTAGATAGGCTTTGGCCATCAGATAGACAGCGCCAGGGGCACCATGACACCAATGGACAAGTCGCTTGTCCCGGCCCGAACGCAAATCCTCCAGAGCTACCGGAAAGTTTCCCTCACCATCCTGCAGTTCCAGAAAAAAATCAATCGAACGCTTGATATCTCGTAGCTCAGCAGCGGGCGCCGATATGGGAACCGTACGAAACCATGGGCTATCCAAGAGCATGTGCAAAATAGAGCAAAGGCCATGAGCAGCGCCCAGATACTCCGTGCCATGGTATTGGTACATCAATGGCAATGGAGAGTTATTCAATTTACTATACTCTCGCCCGCTGTTGATGATTAGCTGGCAAATAGAGACGAGATCATCATCCGTGATCTTTTTCTCCGGCAGCACGTCGTTGAGCCAGTAGCAGCCAGATAGATAGCCTGCTCGTCCCACTAGCACCTCATCACAACCATATTTCGTATGCATGAACTCTTTGCTTGATGGAATGCCCGACTTAAAGTTGGCCAAGTCTGTGGATAATTCCTCCGTATTCTTCGATTCCTGTGATATGGCTGCGGAGACGGCATAGATGCCTGCATTGCCACAGAGAAAGGAATATCGTTCAGCTGATCTTTTCTTATAGCGTTTTGCATTTGCTTTGGCATTACGTATGAAGGCCGCCGCGTGCTCCAATGCCGGATAGAGTTCACGGGTTTGCTCGCAGCTATTAAGCTTCCAGAACATGTAGGCAATGCCAGCATTGCCCACATACAAATCACCTCGATTATCCTCTTCGTCGCTATTGGGATGACAATGTTCCAATATGGCATCTACGTAGGTGCATATCAACGTCTTTATGTGCTCTTCATCGGTGGCAAAGGGCGTATTTTCACCGCCGGAGAAATCATTAAATGGGTTCTTTAGATAACGTCGTTCCATTTCACGGTTATAGTTATCGTCCACCTCCACCTTCTCTTCAACTTTTCCCCTTTGCGTTACGTTCGCTACGGCGGCTGTTGCTGTCGCGGCTGCTGCAAGAAATCACCGTACAAATAAAAAAAGAAGAAACCAAAACACTTGTTATCGTAAATCGATTTGCTGTCTGCCGGCTGCTGCGTACTTGGCGCAGGGCGCGGCCCCGCCGGTTGCCGGCGTTTGCTTTGTCTAGGACTCGGACTTACCCGTTGTGTCTTGAGCCTTGCCCCTTGTCCAACCGGTTGTATTATAGCTTCGATTGGAGCGCACCTGCAACACGTTTATGCAACTCAATAATAGGGAACAACAATAAATTATAAACTTAAATTAAAATTTAATATCATGAACTATCAAGTGAATTGTGTTCGGTTCTATTATTAGTTTGCAAGTGCTCACATACATACAAATCCTAATTAAATAATAGTTTTGTCACACATTTGACGCTGTTGCCAAAGCCAAATCTGTTTTAAGCTCTAAAATCCTTTCTTTCTGTACGAGTTTGTATATCGTATTATCCTGTTGACGGATATATTCCGCTTAAAATACTCTTCGTGCGATACTTAATCGCAATGCCTTCCGATATATTACGTATTTACATAATTTCAAACAGGTTAAATTACAGTCTGGTGGCATTACATATTAAAGGTAGCTTTTGTTGTTAGTGTTAATTTTAAAACAATTGCAAATAACTATTGATTAATAAAGATTCAGAATATTCTTATTAATAAAGATTCACAGTAAGGAAACTGCAAATTGTTTTACCAATAATCGATATGCGTTGCATAACATCGATAGTACCATTGCAACACGCACATCGCTATTTATTTACCGCATTTATAGAAAGCCTTTAAGCCAATGCGAAAATGTACATATTTGGGCTTTATATAGCCTATATAGCTTTATTTTTAATTTTTTTTTTTTTTACATATATATCATTGGTGTATCACAACTGTATTTGTTTTAAACTATTTACGATGGTTGAGTCCCATTATAGTCGCAATCCGTATAAATATATTCAAAACATCCATATAAATAGACATCGAACTGAAAGAAGAAATCAAATGAATTTCAACAATTACGTCTAACTAGCTTAAATTGCTTACGCATTAATGGGATCGAAGGGGGCATATGCATACTGTGGATACACCTCAGCCTTGCGCACCAACAGTTGCGTATCGTAGAGCAGGAAGCCGCTAAATAGAATTAATCCGCCGTAAAGCGACATCGAAGCCAAACCTAGAAAAAATATCAAGCAGAAGAATGTATAAAAAAAGGATATTATATAGGATTGTGATAAAAGTCAATTACTTACCAGCGCCCAGCATGGTAGTTGGCGGTAGCCACATCGATGCCAAGGATGAGGCAAAGACAACGCCTAAGCCAATGGCCAATGGACCACCCATATACAAAAATTTATCATTCGGTGCACAAGTTGCGATCGTCGACAAGCCACCGGCAATGCCGCCCGTATAGAGAGCAGCGCGCGTTAGTATCGGTCCACCAAGGAAACACATAGGGGCAATCATAGCACCCAAAAGAGCGCAATGCACGGCCCAAGCCAAATGCTTTGGCCCCAAACCCTTTTCATATTGAATAGAGTGAGTGACAGCTCCACTGCCAATGACCAAAGCTAAAGAAGCTAATGACCACTACGATAAACATAAATATATATATATATATATGTGTGTGTATGCAGGAGAGTGTGAATGTATGTGACTTACCACAATGCCTCCACGCGAGGCCAGCGAGAGAAGGCGAGGTGATCGAAAGACAGCAGCAGCAGAGGCTGCAGTCAGCAGGCAGGAGCCACCAAAGAAAGCGTATGTCGATTGTATGCGCTCCTTTACATACTGCGGCCACATGCTGCAGACGAAGAGAAAGAGACAAATTATTACAAATGCGGATGCAGGGGCAAGTCAATGTGCATGTGTGTTGTCTAGCGGTAAAGCGAGAGAGAGAGACATCTTGCTCAATCGCGCTAGACATATGAATGTCAAATACTCGACGCTCGTTAAGTGCACAGAGGATAAGCAAATTAGGCTAAGTTAAGTTGGGTGGGCTTTGTTTAGGATTATGCTTTGTATGCATTAGAGGAGGATAGACAGGATCTCCCTCTCTCTATTTCTGTCCTCCTCTGAATTGTTAGGAGCACTTCTATTATGTATTGATTAGAGAATCCTGGAAGGCTGGACGATGCTTCCACGAGAGATGCATATATTTATTTTGTATATAAATTCGGGTGGTGTAGAGCAGTTCTTTCGAGGAATTTCTACTCACATGGCGTTATCTGCAATGCTTGTGTGCTTGCCCATGCCGACGCCGTAATAGCAAAGGGCACCCAGACCGACGACAGCGGCGCCCGCGGCAGCGCCTTTGCCCAATGAAAAAGCTACAAAGAGCAGCAATTAAATTACGGTTACAATTGAAAAGCAACCACTTACCATTGGCACTTGGTGGGCCCATTAGCTTCTCCTTGAGTGTGGGTTGAGTTCGCATCTGTGTCCGATCCACGGTTCCGGGATTGCGTGTGGTGCGCACTGGACCACGAGCATAGTTGCGCACTACATTTAGATTAATTCTCGAGGACTTAGCCAAGAGCAAGCTGCTCGATGGAGCCTTCGCCAATGCAAGTCGCAGCAACATTTTTTTTGTTATGATGAAATACGCAGTTTATTGTTAAAGTTGAATTCCCTTGTTTCCAAAATAGATTTACACTCGATTCTGCTGTTTTTCGATTAAACAAATTTAGTAAGTGTGAGTAACTAAGTGAGACTGATGTAAAATTTATATGTATTTTGAAATATTTCTAGAATTTCCTACTTACGAGCAATTGATACTTCGATAATTGACGATGTTGACTTGTTGATATCGATACAAGTACAATAGCCAGCTGTGTGTTACAATATATATCGTTTAAAACATTTGCCATAGTTGGCAACGCGAATTTTTAAATTTGAACATAATATCTCTAATAATATTAAATCAATTGACAGTTATTATACATCTAGTGTATTAGTTATAGTTTTATTTATTTATTTTGTATATTTATACAGTTGCTACAGTACAATGAGCAACAAACTTTACATATTGAGTGGTCTTCTATCGATAGCTTAAGCTTTGCTAGTCGCAAAAGTAAAGCAGTTCTGCCAAACAAAAAATTGCATAGGGGACATCCCTGTCTAAAAAAATGCCGCCTTTGCAGTTGAATTAAATTTTAATTTAATGTAATTTAATGGTGTCCAACACATGTGTATATAAAGGACACGTAACATTGCAATGCGATACAGCTGATTTATGACTAACTACGGCCTAATTGATCACACAACAAATTCACACTATACACTCACGCACATATATATATATGTATATATGTATATCCATTTGTATAGATATAGTCATACATATATACAGTGAAAACCGCATAAAACGGCAGCTTATATTGAATATTTTCGAACATTTGGCTGCACTGTTGGTCCCTCTCGTAAATTTGGTCCTAGACGATCCTTATTTATAACAATCACCTCGGTCAGATGCGATTTACGCAAATTGCCAGTATGATCATACGTATTCGTTTGCTCCAACTCTCCCTCTGGATTCGACGTGAACGTTTTGCATTCGTATAGGGGACAACATTTGGGATAGACCAGATTGGTTTCAGAGGGCAGCAACACATGACAATCGCCTTTCAAACCAACTGGAACTTTGCAGCTGTAACGGTTAATAAAGAATGACAGTGAAAATTATGAATAAAATATTTGTGTATTTGATTGGTCAACCAATCCACACTCTCTCTGTTTCTCTCTCTCTCTCTATCATTCACTCACGTATCCTCCCATAGCTGAAGTGTGCCCAGACATTGCACTCGCACACATTGCCCAGGCCGTGTAAACACTTCGCCCACATACAATTGCCTGGCTGTAAGCGTATCTCGGCAATACTGTGTACTATAACGGTAGCCAGCTGCCAAATGCACCAAAATGGAATGAGTGAAGAGCACAGCTATATAGACAGATCGTCTATACTTACAAGGAAATTGCGGCATTGCCCGGCTGCCGGCTACAAAAATAAATCCTATTAACAGCAATTTAGCAGAGTTCATATTTATTTTGTTCTATTAGATTCGACGTTTGCAAAGTTTAGTGCGCAACTGATTTAAAGCAAATGTATTTAATCTCTATCTACAGTTCCTCCACATGGATTGTCTCTATCTTTATGTGTGTGTGTGTCTCTCTCCCTCTCTCTCTCTCTCTTTCTCTCTCTCTCTGTGTGTGTAATCACATTTACTCACGACATTTACGCGCTTTCTCTACTGGGAATTTAACAATATTCTTATGTATATGAAATGTGTTGATGCTTTTCTATATGGCATGCTTATCGCTTAACCCGCAGCGCAGAAAAAAATTGAAATTCACATGTCGATGGCATGCCCAGGCGCTACCCTGTAGAACCAGTAGAAAAGTATGCCAAAAATGTGGGGACTGTGAAATCGTTGAGCAATTCTTCTATATCTCTGAGTTGCTTCTCTGTCTTAATTGTTTTTCTTTCTCGTCTCTCTCTCTCTCTCTCTCTCTCTCTCTCCCTGTCTCTCTCTCTCTGTCCCCCTCTTTTCTCTCTCCTGCTCTCTCTGTTTCTCCCACTTAGAAATTGTCTGCGTTTGTCAATATCAGTCTCTATCCCTTTCTCCCTCTCTTTGTCCCTCTCTTTCTTGCATCAAGGAAATAACACATTATAAATCCCATTCCAAAGGGATTTGTATACAAATGCAGTCTACAGTCAATATACCTTTCATGCTCTATATGCAAAATGGCAAAGCGATTGATGTTTACGAGAACGTACCTATATAAACATGCATATGTATACGTATTCATATACATATATTCGACAGCTAGTGTATGTGTATGTGTGTACTCTCTGATGTTAAATGTGAAGACATTGTTTATAAATATTTTGATTCACTTTATAAACTGCGTCTGATCATTACTAAGCGAACTGCGTGTGGGGCACTGGGCCACAGCCGATGAATCATGCAAAGGCAAAGACGAGAAAGTGAGATAGTTAGATAGATAGTAAAGGATAGAGGGAGAGACAGAGTGATTGATCAACGATTGAGCTTAAGAATTTACCAGCCAACACTTCCAGTTTCCTAGAGTTTCTCATGTGGGTGAACAATAAGAATCTAAGTGCAAACTTGTTACAGATTATCTCAAGTTTGTTTAAGTCCAGAACTTTGATTAAATGATTGATAGCCTAAGCTTTGCATAGGTGGCAATACATACTATAAATTAGACTGTATAAAAGTCTACGACTGATTGGATAAATTATATATACATATATAGACTGATAGCCTGATTGAGTGACTGAAGGCTGATCCAAACTGAAGATGAGCTGAGACGGAGCTTCTGACATGTGATTTGACTGATGATTGATTGATTGACTTACTCTTTGATTGCATGGCTGATCATTGGCTGATTGACTGACTAACTCACTGATTGATTGACTGATTGCCTGTAATAGCAACAGAATCAGTTGAGAAGTCTTTCAAGCAGTTCAAGTCAATAAGTTTTCCAGACGCAATAGACTTTCGCCTCCACTCACTATTTGAGTAAGTCCCCCATTTCGTTTTGCTCATTTGATAATCTGAACCTTTCACGCAAATCCACTCGGCGATTAGCTGTAGCTGTGGTTCAATCTAATCAAGTGCCCAGACAGATAGCCTTTGACTCGGCAAAGCGAAAAAAACGCTTGAAATTTCCGCCACACTCGCAATTTCCTGCACAAATCGAATCCAGTTATAAAAAGAGTGTGTAACGGCATTTCCAGCCAAAAAGTTTTCGAACGGAAACGGAAATGGAAATTGTCAAACACAAATTCCTAATAGCCCTATCAAATGCGATGCTTGATTGACGCAACAGCCAACGGAATGTTGCTTACTTTTCAGCGCCTTTCCCATTTCTTTCTGATTTTATTCATTGTATACTTTCGCTGCAGATAAAAAGAGCTTTTAGACGCGGGAATATCAACTTCAAGATACCCTAACTAGCTTTTGTAGCTACGCATAGAAAGCTTTAACAGACTGATTTGAATAAAAGCAATGTGAGTAAGCTTAGTATTCATGATTGAGTGACTGACTGACTGACAGACTGATTGATTGATCGACTGCCTAAGAGATTTATTGACTTACTGACTGACTAATTGATTGATGGACTGTCTGACAGATTTATTGACTTGCTGATTGACTGACTGATTGATTGATGGACTGCCTGACAGATTTATTGACTTACTGACTGACTGATTGATGGGCTGCCTAACAGATTTATTAATTTAATGACTGAATGTCTGATTGATTGATGGACTGCCTGACATATTCATTGCCAGACTGTCAACAAATCAAGTTTATAACTAACTTGCAGTTTGACTGATAGACTCACAACAGAACGAATCGAATAGATCAATAGACGTGACTATTAATGCATCAAGTACATGAGTTTCTTGTAAGCAATTGCAATAGACTGTCAATAATTAGCCGGGAATGTCAAATCACTTACCATTAATTGATGTAGTCAACGAATAGTCCAACTAATCGTTGTTAGAGCTCGCCTTTTAGTTTCCATACGAGCTGTGTGAGCTGCATAAATTGTTACTGAAAAGCTGTTCGAGAAAGAGGTGTAAAACGAAATTTGGGAATGGCTTTTTATGAAACCCAACTCTCGCTCTCTCTCTCTCTCTCTCTCATTCACTCTCCCTCTCACACTTTGCTCTCCGCTCTGGATGAGGTTGGCGTTGATCGTTGTTTGCTGTTTGTTGTTTGTTGATCGTTGAGCGTCTTCGGCTTGGGGTTGTTTTTTTTTTTTTTTTTTTTTTTTTTGGAGCCGTCACCGCTTGCCGGTTTCATCAGTTAAGCGACGATCGCGGCACGGTTAAGTACGTAGCGGTCTATAGATATATAGATATAAAGATAAATACATACAAACAAACATTTACAGATCAGATACAGGTACAGATACAGATACAGATACAGATACAGATACAGATACAGATATAGATACAGATACAGATACAGATACAGATACAGATACAGATACAGAAGATACAGATACAGATACAGATACAGATACAGATACAGATACAGATACAGATACAGATACAGATACAGATACAGATACAGATACAGATACAGATACAGATACAGATACAGATACAGATACAGATACAGATACAGATACAGATACAGATACAGATACAGATACAGATACAGATACAGATACAGATACAGATACAGATACAGATACAGATACAGATACAGATACAGATACAGATACAGATACAGATACAGATACAGATACAGATACAGATACAGATACAGATACAGATACAGATACAGATACAGATACAGATACAGATACAGATACAGATACAGATACAGATACAGATACAGATACAGATACAGATACAGATACAGATACAGATACAGATACAGATACAGATACAGATACAGATACAGATACAGATACAGATACAGATACAGATACAGATACAGATACAGATACAGATACAGATACAGATACAGATACAGATACAGATACAGATACAGATACAGATACAGATACAGATACAGATACAGATACAGATACAGATACAGATACAGATGCAGATGCAGATACAGTTAGAGGTGCTGAAGGGCTTGCAATCAATTGCAATTAAGCTGCTCAAATCAATTACGCGCATTAACAGCAAATTGAATTAAAGCGCGTGCATAACAACAACAACAACCAAGATTCCACAACAACAACAACAACAACAACAAAGATTCTACAACAAATATGTTTTTGACGAAGGCTTGTTCGTCTCGTCTTTCAGCTTTCGAGTACAACAAAAAACATAAACAAAAATGCCAAAATGCATAAACAAACTGAAAACGAAAAATAAAAATACAAGAAAAATGTGTAACAAATGAATTTGTAAATAATTAATTAATAACGGCATTTGCATAAAAAGTTAATTCAATTTGTTGCTGTGTTTTTTTTTCAATTCTTTTTATGTTTTGTGCCCTTTTTTTGCAACTGTGCTCAGAGCCTCTAAGGCGGTTAATTAGTGATAAATAAATGTATCTTTATGTGCGAGTGCGTGTGTGTGTGTGTGAGTGTTAAGAGGGTATATTGATTCAATAGTGTGTAATATGGCTGATTCCATATGGTATATGATCTGCATCAATGACTGACTTCATCTGCTTTTGTCTTCAGCTGCCTCCTTTGCTCTGTCCTCATCTGTTTAGCTCTCTGTTAGTGCTTCTCTCTTTCAGTCCCTTCGTCCATCTGCCTGCAGTTGCCACATCATTTCTCCTACGTTTGTCTCCTAATCATTTAAAAACTCAATCAAAATCCATATTTCGCACACAGTCAAAGCGCGAATCCTCTTGATTAGCTCTTGGCACTGCATTCCATTCAAAGTGAAGAACTCGCGCAGCAGCTGCTCGCTATGTGGCTCTAGGGCATCTGCTAGTCGTGCACTTCTCCCCTGTGACCCTGTTAAGTCTTTTTTGTTGCACTTCAAATGCTCTAGAGCCTCGAGCCTAGCGGTTAATTAGTGTTAATATAGACATATTTATAAATAAATATAAATGTAAATGTCTTTTTGTACTCATTTTTGAAATTTTTGTTGAGTTTACTTAATTGTTTTTTGTGGCTCATTCATGAACTGTGGATTATATTATTTGCTTATTTGCTGTCCGTTCGTCTGCTTGATTCACCATCCCCAAGTGTGTCCGTGTCCATCTTTGATTCCGTCTGTTTGTCCATTCTTAGTTCGTTTGTTCGTCCGTCTCCCGGCCGTCTGTCCAATTCTCCATTAGTTGCTCAGCTTGTCTGTCCATCTTGTCTTTCTTTCACTCTTCTATTCGTCCGTCCTGTCTTCTTTCTCTCCGTCTCCGGCTGTCAGTCCTAGGCTCCGTCTGGCTGCCAGTCTCCTCCATTTATTTATTTTCATATATTCCAATTATTTATTTATATTTAAGTGCCATAGCGGGATTCGAACCTGTGACTTCACTGGAATGGCGAATGAATTCTTTACTTCTAAGATATATATATATATATATATATATATGATATCCAGGTATATAGGTATTCCCTCTACATATCTTGTTGCTGCAATTGCTTTGAGTTGGCCTCGTACA